GGGTAATAATGTACACTTAAATTTATGATAAATTACAGAACCGTCATCTTACCCAGTTACTTTGTTTTGGTTTCAATCGGGCGAGGGCGCGTATCTAACTCATCCAGACAGCTGTCCTTCAATCCAAACCGTAGTTTGGATCTTACACTTACTGGTGACTAGCATCGTGAGGGAATTCTCGGCGTTCTTGTGAGACGCTGTGACCAGTAGAGCTAATCCGTGTTAATGGCTTGACGTTCTGTCTAGTGCCTTAGGTTTTCGCGTTAAACCTCATGCTACTCTTTATGATTACCATGGAATCACTTGTTATTATTGAACTACAGTGTATCGTTCCGGTTAAGCTAGTTCTTGTCATTGTTGACGAATTAGCGAATTGAATGCTAGTTTGTGTCAACATTTGTTTTGTCTAATTGGAAGGATACCAACACCTGTCCCAGTATCAGCAAGACAGAAGATTTTCGGGTTATTATATTGCTGATAGTATCGGACTGTAGGTACTTATACTTACTTATTTAAAGCTAGTAATATCGCTATGACACTTTAAATGAGCTTATATGTTGACAAATCATGTCATCGTTGTAATTTACAGCACAGAAATGAAAGAAATGAACAAATGTGTGTGCAACATCAAATGACTTAAACCTATCAACATTTAGCTGTTCGAGTGCAAGACCAGGTGTCCCTACGAATGAACACTTTTCTTCGTTCGCAAGCTGACATATCTGACAATAGGTTGATTACACTATAATGGAGTGAGATACCATAATGAGTTATCCTCATTGCAGAGTGATGACACGGGACCAAATCGATCAGGAGGCATCAGTTCCTCAAGATTATAGGTACAATTTGCTGGTGAGTGCCAAGTAGTACGAAACCTAGGTCCAGGGTTTCCTGTAGACTACCTCTAACCGTCATCATATCTCAGCATGTAAATGCTTCTAAATTTTGATAATTAACCATTGTAGATTAAAATATAGATGACCAATTACTATTATTAACTGAGCTAGCAAGTCATGGATACTAATCACTATCGCAACATTATAATACACGTGAGCATTAGTCGACGAACTAATAGAATAACGGGTTAGGACCAGTGAAAATCAATCGACTAAGTTAAAGTCAATGGGAGAATTAATGACAGGCTGAGTTTCTTTATCCGGCTTACAAATGTAGAATTGATGTATGGTTTGTTTTAGACGTTGATAACCAACACCACAACACTTTCATCCATTTCACGGATGAAATCCTCTAGACAATACACTATTCTGACATAACGTCGTGCTTTGTGGGCGCAATATAAGTTTGGCAACGAATGGTCATCTTCGATTCAGCAGATAGTATCACGAACACTGGATATTGAATCTAGTCCAATATCATAGTACCTGTAATCTTGAAGAAAACTGGTGCTCCCTGGCGGATTCGATCTTGTGTCACCCAGCTTCACAGTCAGAGACGTTACCACTGAGCTATCCGAGCCGCGACCGACCACCTGTAGGACCGAGATGTAATCACAATTGATTGATCACTGGGTGGCGATCAGTATCATGCGTGTCTAGTCCTTATTAGTGCAGATCGAGTGCTATCGACCATGTTGCAATATGGCTACCAGTCTAGGTGACTCGACACTGGGTGACACGATATCAAATCCGCCAGGGAGCACCAGTTTCCTCAAGATTACAGGCACACCTTGCTGACAAGTTCTAAGTAGCACGAAACCTATCGCTAGGGTTTTGCTGTCGACTACCTCCAACCACCATCTAATCTCAATATATAGTGCACGCAGTGTCGAGTCACCTAGACTGGTGGCCACATTGCAACATGATCGATAGCTTTCGATCTGCACTAGTAAGGACTAGACAACCATGGCATTGATCGCCACCCAGTGATCAATCAATTGTCAATATCTTCGTTTTAAATACTACTGGGCTTTGATACGAATTATGTTCAAATACTAGACGGTCAGTTCTTCATATTGCAATGCTACCATGTGAGATTCGGCTGATTTTTCTAATGAAACAAGTGAAATGCGTTTATAAACCATTTATAATAAAGGTCTAATGCGTTTTTATTTATTTGCATTGTTTTGTCGTGATGGGTGTAAAGGAAAACAATATAAATGTCATAAATCTGCCACCGTAATAAATCTGCGGCTTTGCGAATCAGTAAGTTTCGACGACATATCCGAAGACTTACAAATATAGTTCCCAGGTTTCCTCCGTTTGTCAGTACGTAACGTATTCCAGAGATGATTGAGTTTCTAGTGACTTCTGAAGGATCGACAGGAAATAACATTTCACCTGATTTCCGACTGAAAATCAGAACTTCCGCCTCCTTTTAAAGAGGTGTTCCGTAAGATGTACCTCGGCTAAGGAGAAGATATGTCGTACGTGGTTGAACTACATAGTATATATGTCGCATTATGGTCTACATCGTTACTAGTACCATTTTAATAATAGACCTGTAAAATTATAGCCTGCATAGTTAATAATACTTCTTTAATAATAAACCTAATCCTAAAATTGTAAATTTGTCATGATGTAACTGCTCAATCTAATAAATTTTACGTGGAAGTCACGTCATTGTCTGCACTGATTCATCGTATCTTGAAAATTAACACCATGAATCTTATTTCTTTTGAAGAACAGTTTTGGTCTGGAGATATGATAATATATTTAATGTGATTAAAGGCAAGCTATACAGAATGACCACATTTGCGAGGCTGAGCCGTGTCATTCGAATAAATCCGATTAATTCTTCCTGCCTTTTCCATTGTCGATCTGCTCTGTTGCTGAATATAAATTTTCCTAGTTAACTCATGTTTAGCTTTGTGGATTCCACTGTAGTGGAATTGGACCATAACCACACAATCCTCAAAGCTGTACACGATACTACTCAGAAAATAGATATTCAATATTTAACTCGGGGAAATACCTAACAATGGAGAAGGCGCAGAGAAGGAATTGAATGGACTGAGTTGGTCGAGTGGCATGGCTCGGCCATGCAGGCGTGGTCCCTGCTGGATGTTATCTTATATCTCCTATTCACATTAAATATATTGTTCTTTCTCTAGCCTAACCTTGTTCTACATCATGTATTGGTAATTGATACGATACAGTGAGTTGGTGTAGTCGATGGTGTGACTTCCACGTAAGATCTTATAGATTAGGCAGTTATATCATGACAAATCTACAATTTTAGGATTAGGTCTATTATTAGAGCAGTACTAATATCATAGTAGACCATAATTCTACATATCTATGATTCGGGTTTCAATTTCTATCAAAAATTAAACATCATGGGACATAATGTACTGGTCACGGAGGTATCACACTTGCTACGAGGGTACTCGTTGGATGAATCATTTTTCAAAAAGCCTGATCAGCACAAATGGTCGAATTGAAATGATAACTAGTAATTGCTAGCACTGTCCAGTTTGTACTCCGGTATTCACGAGCAGACCAGTATCCATGTCAGAAAAAATCAGTGCCTTTAAGATGCCACGAGTAATTGGAGTTTGATAACACCTTAGCCAGTAACGCCTTCTATAACCGAAGCGTGTCTAGTAAGAGAAATCAGGAGTCAGAGGCTAAGAGGCTCGAAGATATATTTGACAGATTATTAATATATCCAGAGACAAGCACAGCTTGCACCTGTTGAGGAAGTTTCGACAAGAAAAGTTGTTTAAATAGGCGATCATTGAAAATTCTTTGGCCGATAACCTCTCTCATTCGTTGCAACATGTCCGTTGCAGAACTGTGTTGCAGGTCGATGTTATTGAGGAGTTTGTCTAACCTTTGTCTATCGGTCCGGTCTCCGCGTTTAAGAATAGAACGTTTCAGCGTTTCGTAAGGTTCGGAAACATACGTACCTGTTAAATTCGCGCGGTAATGCCCTGACTATTGCGAGGAATTGTGCACGTGTGTCGATCACGCCGTGCTCGGAAAAGTCGGCTTCTGAGTAGCAAAACCAGGCTTCGATGTTGTCGGCCCAGAAGGGCATCAGTTGAAACTAAGGTGGGGACAAAGTCTTAAGCTTAAGTAATTTGGGTGTCTGTTCAGTCATGATGAAATACGAAGTACGATAATGAACGAGGGAAAAGTATATATATGTCCAAAAACCATGAAAAATATAGCACAGTGTATAAAAAAATTAAGATAAGGCAATAATATATAGAATCTCATAAAGGAACAGACTCGCAGTTTACGATTTGGTGTACCAGATCACGTTAGGCTCACCAATGAAGATGCCACAAGTATTCAGTGTTTGACAGCGCTTTAACCAGTAACACCTTCCAATATAACTCGTACCCACCAAGAGAAATCAAAAGACAGAATCGAGGAGATTGGAAGATATATTTGATGACTATTAATATATCGAGAATCTTATGATCTAATCTGGCTAGTGATTGCAGTAGATGTTTAGCACGGCGTTCCCACACATGATCTGGTGTGGATGCATGACCGAGCCTTCAGCTAGGTAAGTCCGTCAAAACTAATGTGGTCAGCATCCAATGTAGAAGGCTTACAGAGCTATTACTTTTGGAACTTCACTTATCGCTACAGACCTTAAATCCACACGAAGCTATCGTGCTTTGTAGTTTAAATCAGTTGAGAGTAATGTATGTAGAAATTCTCATCACGAAGAAGCATCACTTAAAACTCAGTGCACTAAAGCATGAACATGTCTATTTCTAAGTTCACTAGAATCGCCTTCCCTCTCATACTCAATAATTAACCCCCCCAAAGTTCGAATTAGTATATCATAGTTCACTTGAACAAAATAAAGTTTGTAATCGGGAAGTGGTTAATACTGGCTCTATAAAAACGTGTCACTTCATAGCTTCACAGACCAAAGTCTTCGTTAAAAAATTCGGTTTTTTGAAAATAATATTCCTCATCAGAATCAACTCTGGGAAACTGTCCGAATACTAGTCACCTTGTGACTAAAGTGATACTGAGTGCAGTCGCGCGCATGAATTATTAAGGTCATTTGTGGGCATACCTGAGGTGGCGCAACTTTCGGATTCTCTAGTCCTTATCGTATGTGGCCAATTACGGCCTTCAATGCATGTTGGGGTTTGTGAGATATGTAGCGGGAGCAGCAATATCTTATCAGATTTTTATAGTATTTGGAATTCTACCATGTGTTATCTCTAGCGAGGCTTTAAATGGATTGTTATCATCAGGTCCATCGAAAGATAACAGGTAATTTGATTGTCTTGCATAACTACGGTCTGGTTTTTTATTTGGATTTAAAGAGAAAATATAGTATTAGTGTCATATTGATATGGTATTTCACTCAGATTCTTCAAGAACATGTCATAAAATATACATTGGTGATTTGTTTCTCCAGGATTCAGGTAGGCAGTATATATCAGTAGACTTGGAATCCATACTTTGTGTAATGGAAGTTTATAAGTTACACTAGGACAGCAGTGTCGACTGATTTGCCAACGATAACTATAATGAATGTAAGGTCAGTGACTGTCGCTACCTCATTGAGTTTAACCAAATGCTGAACTTGGAAAGTATTTTTTTAGCTTTAAAACAGATCGTCAAACTTTAAAAAAATCGTAGTCTGTTGAAAACGTATCTTAAGTTTTGAGGTGAACATTGTTGTGTTTTTTGTTTTTGCTAAGTCTAAACGAACAATGGCTTTGTTCAGTTTACCATGTAGTAATTTTTACCATCATAGAGTATCATCATAACAGATGCACTAAAAATTAACTTAACCTACCAACCTTAATTCATAAACGATTAATCTAGCTTCTGCACTTTACTTATGAGGTAGTTCCTATACATGCGAATAGTACTTGTTAAGTAAGATTGGTTTGTTGAAGCATCAAGGGTTTTCGAAAGCAGATTCTTTATCAACCACTACTAACTAAAAGGTAATGTTCGAGTAACCTGTCTTTATGTTACCTATGATCTCTCATTACTGTATTTCAATTTCCTAAGTCGGGTAGTTCAAACGTTTCATGAACGAGGATAACACCTAAGACATTAAATTGGAAAATTATGTGTAAGGGCACCAGCTTCATTTCTCAGACCACGAAATCCCACCAAGAATGCATGAAGGGTAACGAAGTAAAACATGAATAAAAAATTAAGGAATGGAGGTAAAAAGTAGATGAAAACTAATAAAACATTTACGACCTAAAGGAAAAGGAGTACTAGTTAATGTATCATTTTGATAGATTTTACTGATATCTGTTGTCTTGTTGATCCCACACATGAAATTCACACTAATTTAAGGCTCAGTAACAATCCGAAAATTTGTGGGCAGTTGGTGTACTTTTATCTAGCCATCTTTAGTTTTATGATTTAAATCTATTTTAGGGCAAGTTTGCCTCGCTTTGAGCGCCCAGGCAGTATTCTAACCCTCACACAAACCAAATGATGTGTGTGGTGCGTATATTTTTAGTGCCTCCTTTTACTAATGTTTGTGTTTAAATGAATAAATACAAGGCAAATTTTCCTCTTACTAAGTAGTAACGTAATGTGCTTAATACAACTCAAATGCCTCAGTCATCACAGATATGTTGAATTTCTTGCGAAATGTTTGCCCAATTGTGTGGTTCTATTAACTTTATGATATGGAGAGATCCAACATTTTATCTACTAAATACTTGCTTTTTAGCGAAAAGTGTACATTGGCTACCTCTCATTGTGTCCCAATCGCTCTACATCTCAATCGTACCTGCTTAGGTAATCATTTGCCTTACAAACTGACAGCCCCAATACCACTTGGTGAGGATGTGACTTTTTACAGCCTAGAGTTTTGGACAGCCCTACAGTCTATTCCAACATGTTGGGATAAATTACAAGTAAACCTTATGTTTTTGCAGAAATTATTTCAAGTCAAGTGTAACTCCTTCATTTTACAATAGCATTAATAATAGCCTACTGTACTTTAATTCTTCTGCAATATGGTTATCATTACAATAGCATTCGTTAACTGAAAACGCCTCGTGATAAGTGGTTTGAGACTATATTTTATCTGCCTTTTTCAATGTAAACTATTTATTGTGTAGTCTTAAGGTTACTATAAATCTGTCTTCGTTGTTTAGACGTAACAAGATATCAGACATTCATAATTTCCTATAAATAGTACTTTCTAACTTTTGAACTCATTAAAATAACTAGGTGTTCTGATGTCAGGAATAGTAGTGTTGTATGCTAAGCAATATATATTTATCTCAACCCCAGGACCATGTCCTCTATGTTGATTTGTCTATTCCTTGTAGTTATCCACCTATGTCTTGTCGTTTAGTTGGCTATGAAAAGCAGTTGTTACTTGTAATACTTCCCGTATAATTACTGACAATTTAATTAACGGGATAATGAATATTGATTCTGTCAAATAACCTATGATGTAATGATTTATACTTGTGTAAATAATTCTTAAGGTTATACCTTCTTATATTTTTAAGTTAATAGTTATAGGACTGTTCAGAAACATCAGTCTAGTAGTCATTTGTACGAAGCATATAATTTTCACCGCGAAAATTTTTACTTTTCTATTCGAATCATTTAAGCAGTAGTTTCTTGATTAAACCATTCAGCTTCCAACCAACAGGGTTCAAATCCAAGTTCGTCTACGTAGGTATGAGTAGCCATGTAGTATCATTAACCGTTACACCTAAATTGTGATTTATAGTCTAATAAGTTAGTTTGTGCTCAGCAAACTAGTTAGATTAGTTTGAACTTAGTTAACCCACTGTCTAGACCATTACAATTATATTCAACTTAGAGTAAACCGAAATGTATAAATTTGGTTTCTTCTGTTTAGCGATTCATATGTAATCACATGTTAAACTTGAATTAAAGCTACACAAATTGGGAAAAACAAAATTCTTTTCATCCAGATGATTTACGTTGTTGAGTTCTGTTAACCGTTAATTCGTGTTGTGTGTTTGAAGTGGTTTCGTACAGAGTTAATTAATGAAGAATATAGTTTCAAGAAGTCTACATATTTCACCAAATATCTTATCAATACTTTGTTCTATTCATTCTGCAATTTACCTTAAAAATAAGTGGCCAGAAACTTCTTATATCTGTTTCATTACTTCAAAGGTAGTCAGATATTTTACTTATGACACTAATTAAATCCCTTTCATTATCCAAATAGGCACATTGTAATACAGTACTCGAAATTAAGTAGATTAGGAGATTGATACGTTTGAAGCGTACCTTTTAGGATACTCAGATATCAATATTATGTTACCCTGTTGATTTCTAACACGCTTATATATCCCTATAATCTGTAAATAATGAGATGTCTTATCATAGGTTCTCATCGATCGGCCTAAATTCGAACGTAGAACTTAGTGGGTAAAAGTCAAATGTATTAACCGCTAAGCCACCGCCCCCTTCATACTAATGTAGTTTGTTTATTGTGTTTAATATGTTGGTGCAATTGCAAAGTTGAAATATTGAACTCTGACTAGTTTGTAAACATAATTCGGCTTTTTTGTGTATTGTATGTGCTTGTAATTTCCTCAGTAGTTTAGTTTACTATCATTCAGTTTATCTTATTCATATTTTTTCCACAACTTTATGTTTCTTTTACCTTTGTGGGCAAATAGTTCTTTTTATGCTCCGTTTATGTTCCTGAATGTGTTGTTATTCAAACTTCAAAATTCATTAATGCGGATAGTACGTATTCATCTGTCACTACTGGAAATAATCAATCTGATCTAAATAATCATTCAATTAATGTAACCAGTAGTCAGGAATTCTTCGATAAAAACATGTCAGCTGATAGCTTTCCATCATCATCGACAAATTTTCATCGAATTGTTTTACCAGAAGCTGAAATGTGTGAAGCCGTACATAAAGCCTGTCCACTTCTCTTCTCCATTATCCACTCAATGAATGATAATAACAGTAATAATGTAAAAAAGAAATCTACAAAAATCAAAAACACTGGTACTGGTCACAGTATTAGTAATAATGGTAGTAGTGGTAGAGATATTGACGATGATACCAGTACTAGTAAACAGCATAATCATTTATATCCGAAATTCTTGGATTGTTCATTATATACGCCAGGATGTCGACAGGTATATTTATTTATACGTTTTTTCCATAATTATTTTGTAAATAATTCTTGTCAATTTTACATATTGAGCTGGTGATGTTGGTAGTTGAAACTTTTACTGACTCATTAAAGCCCAAATCAGCTGTCTCTGAATATTCGATTTATTGCTGGTTAGTACATTTGCATAAAAATTCAGCCTCCAAATATGACTCATGTACCGATATAATGAATTGGATTGAAAGGAGGCTTAGAGACGGGGTTGGCCAATGAACCCATTGGCTATTGGTCTTAGTCATGTTGGTAGATGTAGACTACTACTACTACCTGGTTGAAGTCTGCTTTCTAATCATAATCAGTGACTGGAGATATTAAGTGCAATGGCTCAAAACCGTTCACAATAACGCAGGTGCATTAGAGAAATATGACTGAAAACGAGAAGATAAATTCAAGGAATAAGACGTACGAAATATTAGCGGACTCGTGTACAATATACTCACCCTTTGGTAGGCAGATAAACATATTGTCTAGTTACTTACTTTCTAGTCCTCACTGCCATTGAGATGGCGATCCGTGAGTCTCAAGGTGAAGTTTGTTAATTTTAGTGTCTACCTTTTTTAACCCTTACTGTCCGTTACTATGAGACAGCGTCTCTACAGATACTAGTCTGTAAGAAATATCCTACCGCTGTCGTTCTATTGCACAATTAGCAACGTAATTTCCCTTTCATACCCCAAGATTACCACTTATTTTATCTCTAACTCCAACTTACTTGATATTAGTAGTAGGACATAAAGACGGACATTCTAGTCAGGTGCTGAAATATGACACTACATTGTCTTTTTCTCTCAATTTTCTGAAGTGATGATGGCGAGTCTTAAAGGAGTCATTCAATGAGAAATCGTTTATTTATGGACAAATCCATTTTTTAAATATCACTCAAATTTATACGAGAATATTTGAATAAATAGTTCGACAGAAACTTGGCGCCATATATATCGAAGAAATTATTTGCATAAAATTATATTTGAAATAATCTCAGCGATTGAAATCTAAACAATTCCAACGTTTTATTCAGTCTTATGATCTTTCGTATCTGAAATTTCGTATTACAAGATTTCATAAACATACAAAGCTTAGATTTATGCACTCAATCACTTATCATTGTTAAGTGTCAATAATATATGAACAAACTTTCGGTCAACCAAACACCTCATTTTTGTTAGATATGTACACAGAATTATCATTCCATTGACACTTTCATTGTTTGTAGAGTAAAGATGATCTTACCGAAATTTTTTACTCAACATTATCCTATTAATCTGGGGTGGTAAAATCAAGATGTCTGAAATTTTGGGTTAGGTTAGACCTGGTCAATCAGTATCTTTTTAACACTTAAGCTTTTTATGGATTAATATGGAGGTTAAATTTTTAGTCATATAAATAAATCTCTTCCTGTCCAGTTTGTCTAGACTGGAGACAAAGTATGTTTCACTTTATCTTGGCTGTCTATTGTTTATAAACCCACTTATTCTCTCGGTTCAAGTTGAAAGTCAATGTCAATCGCAATAAATAATCTATTCAATATTAACTTGCTTATTGATAGGCTTCTAGTTTAGCCATAAAGTTTCACCTGATTGACTGACTAATTCTATGTGTTGGAAGGCTTGGGTGAGAGGGGTACTGGAGAGAGTTACGTTGATTACAATCAAAAATTTACTTTTATTTCATCCAGTCCTGCGTAGTTGGTTTTTTTTAACCATTACAAATGTTTAACTGGAACCTATTCACTATTCATCTTGTTAATTTTATCGTGTCATGGCAATGTAATGTACCAACTTGAACCGATACACATCAGTAGTACTAAGCGACTGGTTCAACAAGAAGATCCTGAAGTAATTTTTTATTAGCACAAATGAACCAGTTGTTCTGTCACATAAAATTTTGTATAACGTTTGAGATTTGAACTTACCCAGCTCAATGCATCATGTTGTTCACTTGGTTGGATTTATTACTGCTTCCCAAAAATTTATGAACTGATTTTTATTAGTGAAACTTTAAGCTATTATATAACGCAAAATAATTTCGGTGTAATCATCATTGTGTGTGTTTCGGGTTACTATTTGGGAGGAGATTTCTGACGATACGAAATTTGTTTGGAGGAAATTAGATTGTAGGTCACTCATTCTCCAATCAATTAAGAACCGACTGTTAGGTTTAATCTTCGAGAATCATATCACCTCCCTCACAAAATGATTCGAACTCCTTCTGTGGCAACATTGGTGAGGTAGTACTTTTGCTCCGCTTTATATATTCAATTTTATTGCGAATCATGTTTTCGTTTGTTTCTCGATTCCTCTCCTTCCTCCTTCTTTTGGCACTTTCCATATGATTTGGTTTGTAACGGTCTGCGCAACTGGAACGTTCATGTTCTGTAACTTAGAAGGTGAATAATTCTCATGAGATTGTTTGCTGCTTGGCTTGTGGGGACTAATCTAGCGTATGTTCCATAGACTCATCTTAGTGTTGTGTGACTGAAATTCAATATTTGAAGCCTGAAGTCGAAGAATTTCCAGGAAATTCTGACTGTGAATCAACCATGACTTCAAGACTGTTCATTGATTTAGTTTTATCATTGCTTCCAACCATTCCATTGTTACATAAACTGAGATTTTTATCTGTCATGCATTCTTTCTGAATTAATAGTATGTGAAAAGAGTTTAGGTTTTAACTCATTTAGTAACGTTTAGATAAATTCTCCCTTCGACTATGCTAACTAAAATAAACAATTAATTTCACTCACCTTTAACAACTGACATTTTAGAAAAAAAAGTCGATTTTTATTCTTATCATCACTGTTATGGAGATGGTTTTCTGTTAATTTGATGATGGATATGAACAGAAAATAAACGTGGAAAAAATATCATGAGTGATTGATAGTAATCAACTTGTAGGTTGCTTATTCTCCAATCAATTGAAACCTGACTTTTAAGCTTAATCTTTGAACATCGTATCAGTATTTTATTGAGTAATCATTATATTTATTTTATTATTTATTTATTTAAACATATAAACATTGGTACAAGGAGGCAACAAATATATATGCGCCACACAGGTCATTCGATTTATGTGAGAGCTAGAATACTGCCTGGGCGCCTAAACAGAAGCAGGTGCTTTTCTCAGGAGGCCACTCTCCGAGCCTTTGACCTACAGGTCTAATACACAAGACAGTGAAGCAACGATAGAACATGCCGTTCCATGGTGGTTGGTAACCGACAACAGATTCATACCTCTTTTGTCCCCTCAGAATCCTGGAGCTCATGTACACCATTGGTTTTAAATGAAGGTTTTCCAACTCTCCTAAATGGATTCTCCATATCTACGAATCTGGTTAAAGCCTCTGCTGGGCATTCGCTTTTCATCCTCTCGATTTTTTAAACAACACCCTCTCTGTAAGAAGGCAGTAAATAGAACATCCGTGACAGTGGCTGTATATGCATGACTATGTGAAAGAATTTCATTCATTTTACAAATGATAGTTAATAGTGCTCATGATTCTTTAATGGTTGTTTAGCTTTAAAAGAATTTAATCCTACAAGATTTAAATCTACATTTTAAAGTACTTTAATTAGAAGAATATTTCACTCAGTAACTAGATCCTCTTGAGGAAGGGATGAATTGGGATAGATTAATCATTAGAAAGTAACATCTATTTCACTGTTGACTATAGATAACTAAAGTATTAATTAATCGATTGACTAATTAATTAATTAATTGGTTAAGTTCAAAAAGATTGCTGTTGTTTATTTTACTTTCATTTCATTGTTTCCATTGTTGTTTTTTTCCTCAAAAAAAATTGAACCAAAGAATAAATTAACTGCTCGTTTATTTCAAAGTAATGGCGGTGGATGTCAATCTCCTCTTGTTACAACATCATTAAGACGAAATTGGTAAGCTTTCTTTGTTTTGTCTTTAAATTCAATAAATATATTTCAACTATAAGGAATGTTGTATTATACAAAATAAGTATTATTTATAGACGATACTGTTTAATCATTCTCTTTCTTCTAGTTATTTGAATTTTGTTTGTTTACACTGTCAGTTATTTATTTTGATAATGTTTCGTTATTATCAGAAGGGGGTTTTGTGGAGATTTTAGACAATGGTATACGGTAGTGCAACTTCGTGGACTAGTTGAAGTTAGACATCAACATCGTTGAATGCCGGCTCAGCGGTCTAAGGGTAAATCGCTCACGCGCGAGACTGATAGGTTTTTGGGTCCGAGTCTCGCGGGGTGAGGGATCGTGGGTGCGCAATGCTGAGGAGTCCCATACTAGGACGAAACGGCCGTCCAGTGCTTCCAGGTTTTCCATGGTGGTCTAGCTTCGATTGACTCATGATTTCAATCAGTGAAATATTGCGTTATACATATCCTGCTTTCTTTATTTAACTTTTCGAGTAGTCTCATCAACCTTTGTGTGTTCATATCTGATGAAATCCTTGTATAGATTTAAAAATCTTGTTTAGCTTTTGCTAACTTATGTCAAATATAAATTAGGCGATATATCTATTTGTCAACCAGAAGGCAAGTATACAGTGTAGCAATCCGCTTTGTATTACTCCACAACTGTGAAGTATAGTGTTTGAAAGCAGAAGATATACATAAACCAGATTTTTTCTCCATAAGTATTTTGTAACATTGCTCGCGTATCGTAGAATGGCTGAGTGAGCAGTGTTGGGGTTAAGCATAGGGTATCAGACAAGAATATAATATCGGTTAATGGAGTTGTAATTTATCATCAACTGAGTTGGTTGGGTCATATTTCGCCTATGTCTAACCACCGAGTAACTCGGTACAGCAAGTTTGCTCATGTAAGAGTTATTCAAGAAGTTGCTAAGGGCGGCCAAAGTAAGATGCGAAATTATTTCATGAAGTCACTGATTGTTGGCTTGAGTCGTGTTAGTAGATACAGACTATCTGGTTTTAGTTTGTCCAACAACTGCGATCAGTAATTGGGGACTTTGAGTAATATGGCTCAGAATTGATCACATTAGTCCAAATAGACAAATATTGTCGGTATTTCGGCACTAATACCCTTCTATTCAGTTTTCTTCGAACTATTTCCGAACTATTTAGACTCATTATCATTACTATTACATTATTTCACTTCTTTTAGTATTCATCGTATTATTTTCATCCCTTTATGCTAATTTGATATTAGCAACTTGAGCTGACGCACATGTGTCAGACTGTATATTGACTATGAATAACTGATATTGTAAAATTGGTCAGTAATACTTATCCAGACAGTTTCACATAACTGATTGTCACAAAGGTCAATGTATCATTTAATAACAGGCAAATATGAAACCTATTCCAGGTGATCAGATATATCTATATATACATATGACAATCATTTGTAGAGTTTCCAACTATCGATCTCAATATTTATGAAGAGTGTCCTAGGCTACTGTACTTTTAATATTTATATCGATTATTATTAGTCAATATTTTGATGTATCAAATGAAATTTATTAGAGCTACTAATTTGTTTTCATTTCATATCTCCAGATGTAAGATAATTTACATTTTCTACATAACAATATTGTGGATTTGTTTTGTTAGTTGCTATGTACTTAAAATTGATCCTTTTTTTCTTCAGAAACAAACTAGGGGATAAAAATGTTTTATTCAAATTTGCCTTCTTTTCGAATAATAATAATTTATGTTTAAACATAAGGTATTGTTGACTCATGATTACTAATGTCATACACAATGAAGAACCTGTTCATCGGTTAAAAAATTACCATACCACATTAACATAGTGAGATAGAATTATTTCAAGACAAATCCCTGAGTAGTATAAGTGGTATAAAAAATATTAGGTCTATAAAACGAAAAAATAAAAACAGTATAAGATTTTGGGTTTCAGATTCTAAGTGAAGATAGAGAGTCAATGCACTTACACTATCATAAACGATACTGAACCATCTTACTCAAAGTCTCTAACGATTGGTTATGACAATAATTTGGATTTCAACGAGGTAGTTTACACCTGTGAAAAGAGCTTAGTCCAATTTCCAATGACTTCATAGACTGGTGTCATGTTTTGTTTTGACCACCCCTACACTGGACAACGTGGTTCATTGAAATGGGAGAAACTATAAATTTGTATGTATGGAGGAATACTTTCTTATGTTTTCACGAAGCCATAACATCCATTTAAAAAGTTCTGTTCACTACATACAAGTGGTATATGTTCATTAGAGCGAAAAAGGGATGGAAACAGGTGAACTGTAGTCGAATTAAGCAAACATTTATTCATTTAGATTATGAATAACCGTTAAAAACATGAAAGCACTGTACGGTTGTCTCATCCTACTGTGGGACTGTTTAGCTGTACATATCCACGGCCCCATTGGAGATCGAACCCAAGACCTCCAGGTTCTCAATGTTTCTCTAATTTAGGTATGCTTTTACTCTCAATAAAATCAACAATCTCTACACACTATATTTATTTTTTGTTTTATGAGAATGAGAGAGGTTTTGTTGTGTTTTAAAATGAGGGTAATACAAAGGAGAACATACTGATAATACTAGTACAGTTGAGCGCAGCTAGATTGATAGATCGTTATCTCAATCGATTGCAATTTATTAGAGAGTACTGATGTTTATAAGCATTTTTATGTCTCGGAGAGTGACCTAGGGTAGTGCAACTTTGAAGCAGTTTAGTTAAAGTGATAACTGCATACAATCAGTTAGAAGAAAGTTCCACTGTGTATGATGTTGAAATTTTAATTATACAGAAATGAAGTAGTGCACAAAGAATTATTTTCAGCTAGTGTTAGCGAAAATAGTTTCCTTTTGAATGACTTCCAACAGGATTAAATGCAGAATCAAGTTATTCATATATTGATGATGCATAGGCCTGGATTGTTCACCGGTTACCTTACGAATGTTATTCTTTGCGTTTCTGTGATGTTCCGTTGAATAAAATGTTGGATCAAAGGATCCTTGTTTCATCCAACAAAATAATACCTGCTTTGGTTTATTTCTCTAATCAGTATCTCGTTCTTCACCTATCGGATATTTGATTGGCTTATTAGCAAATAATTGCGTTGATCAGGAATCCGTATCATCTATTTTTTAGATAATTGGGATATAGCCTCAGATGAAGTTTCCTAGCTTACTGCTGAAAAAAACGAGAGAGAGAGAGAAAGTAGGGTTCAGTCAACAAATCATCTTTAAACAGATTTGGATTCGATAGGAAGGTGAGTCTTAGATTTGATCACATTACGTGAATGATTTAGTTCTGTCACAGAGTTTTAAGTAGAAACATTTTGAATAACGCATTTCCGTAGTTTTCAGCGCTTTTTCAGTTATAATTTGTATAGTGCATAGATTTTGTTTGCCTTTTTATCATCTTTTTATAGGATTCCTGGCATAGAAAGATGTAGTTTTCCATGTCGACGTCCTCATTTCGATTCTGACCATTATAGATTAGCTAGATGGATTACAGGTTGTGCTGCTTTGTTCTGTTTATGTACTAATGTTTTTACATTGGTAAGGAATGTGTTTTTACTTAATTTTGTGTGTGGAATTTTGTTACACTAACTAATATTTTTCAAGCTACACAATTTTGTACTGATATATGAGTGGTTATCATAGAGAGAGGTGTTAGATCTTGGTAAAGAACGATTATTTATTGGGGTTTCTCGGTTGATCTACGGGAGTTGTCATTTGCAAACATATGAGGATCATTCTAATATGAACAATTCTGTTGCGGACTCGATAACGGGAACTGGCACACAGGAAGAAGACAAAGTGTAGGAAAAAGACTGATTTCTAAACAGGACTTAATAGAACTCAGTATATATATAATAACGAGAACAGCCTTCAAGTACACGGAAAATTAGCGCAAGTCAAAGTAGTGGTAGGCAATCAGAAAAAAGAGCACAGGTCGTGGGAGAAATTTAATTCACAGTCACTGACTGTAATAAGATTTCATCGTTATTGGTAAAAATCGAATAATTCCGTGTTCGCCCTAGTAGGAATAGAGGAACATAATGCTTTATTTTTAATCTACACTTTTCATAATCATAGTTGTGTGTTGGCTACAATGCTCAAAGTCGACGATTTTATTAGGGGGTCACTTCCTGTGTTTTTGACTTCAAGGTCCTAGTCCACAAGGGAGTAGAGCAACATCAAAAGATGCTATCTGATGGTTACCGGTAATTAAAATAGGTTGATGAGATTATTATTAACGGACGACCCTTGAGCGATACTATAGTAACCTTGAGAATATTCACCTTCTTACCAGAATCAAAAGATTATACATTAGTGTGAGGAATTAGGATTAGAACTTAAAGTTGGACGTTAGGGTTAGAAATTTGAGTTAGGGATTTCATCACGACCTCACATCAACTATAGTGTCAAAATACTATTTAGCTATATTAATCAGTGAATTTCGCCCAAATATCTAAAACTTGCTTTCTTAAATCTTATTAGTTCGTCCATAAATTACTGTCTCGCCAATAGGTTAATATTCTATTCTTTCCTTTCGGATCCTGGGGTCCATTCCTATCATTGGTTTGAAATTAGGGTGTCTTGACCCTCCTAGGTGAACCCTTCCTACCCCCCAACCCGATTTAAACTTCGGAATTTCTCATTTCATCTCCTTACTTTCGTAAACGTACTCCCTCGTTTTGAAGTTAGTAAACAGGGTTTACCTGACGGAGGCTACAAACTCATGGCCGTATGATAACATTTGAAGCGCGTGATCAGGATTTTTTTAATCCTTGGGAGCTTCTATTAGTCACCATAAAAGTGATGAAGCAAAAGATTCTGTATGAAAGTAAACGACATACAGTAGTTGAAAGCAATATACATTGTTTATGATTATCGCCATGTTCACTTACTGTTTCCAATTCAATTAGTATGCTCCGACCATCAGGTTTCTCGGTCCTTATTATTTATTTGAACACGTAAGTATTAGTACAAAGGGGCACCGGATACATATACGCCACACAACTCACTTGGTTTTTCTGTGGGCTGTGATACTTCCCGGGTGCCCAGGCCGAAGCATGTGGCGTCCTTAGGAGACCACAACCCGAGACTTTGGCCTAAAGGTCCGATCCACAAGACAGTGGAGCAACGTCAGGACATGCAGTCCCATGGTAGCCGGTGATCAATAATAAGTTCATACGCCATTTGTTCCCTCAGGATCATGGAGCCTATATGGACCACTGGTTTGGAATGAGAGTTTTCTAACTCCCCTAGATGAATCCTCTGTGCCCACCAACCCGGTTAAAGCCTCTGTCGGACATTCGCTTTTCGTCCTCTCAATTTCGTAAACAACACCCCGGTCGCGAGAAGGTAGTGAGTAGGAGTTCCTTGACAGTGGCTGTATACGTGTGGCCATATGAGAGCATTTGGAGAAGGAGAGCCTACCCTTCCTACCCTCGGGAATTTGGGGGCTTCTAGGTCCTTGCGCAAACTGTGAAATTTTCTGACGTGTAGGGATCTCTATGCTAATATCTATCTAGCTATTCACCTAAGTAGACAGATATATCTCTACTATTTATTCTCGGTTCATTGTTTATTTACACCAAATCTTTCCGGTGGTTAGACCTAGTATCGTATAATAGAAATGTAGTTTTTTGTTTTTCATATTCAATTTTTGTATATTATGCTAAACAAAGAAAAAAATCTTCTTTATTGCCTACCACCTTATCACTGTCAAGGGATTAATTTGTTTTAACAAGGATTAGAATTCATTAAAACAGGTATAAACAAGAAATTTAGGATCGCTAGAAAAAATAGTTGAAAATCAGCTCAACTGTTATCAATCAATACAAAAACCATATGTGTATGAATTCTAATTGGTAAAACATGGCACAGAAACAAAAAGTGGTCTAATCATTTAAGCTTGGTATTTATTTCAGAGAGAATTAATCCCTATTTAATGCATTGAAGTGGGAGTATACTGAGACAATTTCCAAATATGATAAAATGCCAGTCAATAAAGTTTCAACATGATTATTGAACCATTACATGAATTATTTTTTATGGTAAACAAAAGAAGGCTTTAGGGTTAAACATAGAAGTAGAAGTTGGAGTTAAGATCATTGTAGGAGAATAATTTTTAGTCATAATATTCATGTTTTACTCAGGTAGTTCAGTAAAAGTATACACTGACAACTTGGAGTCAATCATTCAGATAAGATTATACTTCATATGTTTTGCTTGAAATTTTAAGTTCAGTGATAAATAACATGTATCTTATCATTGGCAATGTTGAATTCTTTAAATACATTAAATCAATTAAAAAAGTGAATTTTTTATGGTGCATAAGCTAAGCAAGTTTTGTTGACTGTTCATGCAAAAAATTGGTTTGCTGGTTAACCAATTTCATTCATACGGGTGGTTGCTTTTCAGTGTTCCCGAGGGCCATTGTCATTGGGACATTGTAAGGCATGTCGCCATTGCTAACACTAACGAGTTTGACTGTCGTGTAAGTGGAATAGGTCAACTTTGACCTGTTCGTGCTGTGCATAATTGATTCATGCGATCATTGATCGGAATAACTATACATGTGATGTGAATGTGTATATGAATGGTGCGAATGGTCTACCAGGGTGCTTGATACCTGTGTGGTTGCGGGACAGAATTGAGCTGTACTATTCATATTGTAGCGTTAAATCCTACAAAGTGTCTGGTTCTCCTGTGAAGCGGGATTGACCTGTACTGCTCGGTTTATAAAATTTAAGCCTGAATGGTGTCTGGCTCTCCTGTTAAACGGGGTTGGGCTGTACTGTTTTGGTTGTCACGTGAAAGTCCGGATGGTGTCTGGTTCTCCTGAAAACCAATGTATAATTACCCTGGCCCACAAGGGTACATTGTCTAACTTATATAACTAAGCTAAATTATAAAATATACTTGCTCCTGAGACAAATTATGCGTTATGATATGTGACATGGTTCATTGCGTAATCAGGAGTGTTTAGTGAAGCTAGATAATATTTTTTTTCTTTCTTACTCTTACTTTAAATCTAAACCCTAAGTTTCTCAAGCTTGTAAACAGAAGAGTAGCAAAGTATTGCATTATAACTGATATTAGTTCATGTCAAAAACCCTATCTCCATTTATATAAATCTTATTCAAAACTCCAGTTTAACTCGAAATACCTAACCCTAACCTTTTTGCATTATAACTGATATAAATTGGTGACGAAAACTCTGTGGGGCGATAACGCTAACTAGAATTTTTGTGACCACAATACTGGCCCGATTACTAATGTATATGCTTATTTGTAAACTTGACTTTTTCTCTTTACTAAAACGGGTAGTTTAACAAGTGAGGGTTGATTGTTCAGGTGAAAGCTGTAATTTCATTGTTTTATATTGTAGATTATTTTACAACTAGGTATCGTTTCCTGACTGACTGATAAGTCTTCCAAGGTCGTCAATATATTATCCTTTTGCCGGTAATTCTCGGCTTTCAAATTTTTAAAACTCCTAAGTTATCCTAGAAAAGTTTATGTCTTATCTTGCACCGATATCCTCGAGAGATAACACACATAAACACCCTTCAATATGCTCCAAATCACCATATCAAGTACACTCAACAAAAATTCATTGTTTCAGATATCTTATCTCACATACAAATCCAATAGTTTGTATGGTGTATACATAATTTGGTGCCCCTTTGCTCCACTGTCTGTATATGTTTGATTAAATAGATAAAAATTGGTAGAATATAAACAGCTCAACACTACGTCTCAAATTTCTCGCGAAATTTCACGAGATGCTATGTTAAATTTGATTGATTCTTTCGTACAGTATAGTTTTACCAGCTTTTGCAAGGTACTTAGCTGTCAATGTTTTCGTACCCTTTTTTTTCTACATTTATTGTGACAAAATATTTAAATCAATCCAGACAGTGCAATTCAATCTCTTTAAAAGTCTGAATTAGGTTCACTTCATTGTTCTTGTGGTTTAGTGTAGTCTACATTTTATAATTACTTACTTACTTACGCCTGTTACTCCTCGTGAAGGAACATAGGCCTCTCACCAGCATTCTCCATCCAACCCTGTCCTGGGCAATCCTTTCCACCTCCTTCCAGCTGTTATTCATCCTTTCCATATCTGCTTCTATTTCCCGACGTAATGTGTTCTTTGGCCTTCCTCTTTTCCTCTTCCACTCAGGATTCCAAGTTAGGGCTTACCACGTGATGCAGTTTGATGATTTGCGTAATACATGTCCTATCCATTTCCATCGTCTTTTCCTAATTTCTTCTTCAGCTGGAAGCTGGTTTGTTCTCTTTCACAGTAGGTTGTTGCTGATGGTATCCGGTCAATGGACGTTGAGTATCTTACGTAGACAACTATTTATAGATACTTGTACCTTCTTGACGATGGTTGTATTAGCTCTCCAAGTTTTAGCTCCGTACAGTAGAACTAACTATCTCGACGTTCGTATTGAGGATTGTGACTTTTATATTGGTTGACAGACAGTTGCTTTGAGTTCTATATGTTCTTCAATTGTAAGAATGCTGTCTTTGCTTTGTCAATTCTCGTCTTTACGGCTGTATCCGATCCTCCTTGTTCATCGATGATGCTTCCCAGGTATGTGAAGGATTCTACATATTCCAGAGTTTCGCCATCAAGAGTGATTGAACTGCTGTTCTCCGTTTCGAATTTGAGGACCTTGGTTTTCCCTTTGTGTATGTTGAGGCCTACTGCTGCTACACTGGCTGTCTTTATCTGCATTTGTTCGTGTGTATTGGGTACGAGGGTTAGACATTTTGTAACACGAAACAATTAATCATGAATTCACATACATTTATTATGGCTCATATGATATATATATATATATATATATATATATATATATATATATATATATATATATATATATATATATAATTCTCAAAGTTGCAGGTTGGAAAACTGCTCCATGTACTCCAGTTTAAGCAATCGGGTTGTGTCATTAGCCGTCACATAATTAGAGTTTGACTAAAAGTTAAGTAAATCACTTAAACAAGGTACCTGTTATACAAGCGTCATATGTATGATAATTATATTTAGTAATTATTTAAATTTATTCTTTTTCAATATATTTATTCCATAATTCATAATTTTAGTTCACTATTCGTTTACAATTAACTGAACGTATGGAGATAACATTACAGCTTTCAATATATGTTCATCGTCTTATTGATTCACTACACTTGCCAACATTTTCAACAAATCGAAAATCACATCTTATCTACAATGGTAAATCATCCAAATCATCAGCGACAACATTAGCAACTTCTTTAACAGGAACAAAAACCACCACAACAACTACAGCATCTAATGAAACAGTTTATAATCCATCTTGGCGTTTATTACATACATCATTATTTTACATACATTTATTTTTAATATTGGGTTGCTTCGGTTGGTTATTACCTTTATTACCAACTATTGGTGAATATGTTGCTTGTCGGGAAGATGGTAGTCTTCGTGTTGGTGAACCACAAATTAGGTAAATATATAATATATATCACAGTTTACATTACGAACTGATCTTAGGCAACTGTTTCAAACTAGGATGGATCTCCTTAGCAGTGTATGTCCACAATGTTACCAGTAATTAAACTCTTTAGCGTATTGGACGATACGCAACATAGCGAGTTGATTAAAGTTTGAAATATGTAAGCTATTGGATGTCGCCTCGGTAGTCTAAAGGTTAGAGGCTCACCATAAGACCTGACAGTCTTGGATTCAACCTCTGCTGGATTCATACTCCTGAGGAGATCCATACTAGGACAAGGCAGCTTTTGAGTGAGTGCTCCTTGATTTTCTATCTAACTAATACCAGTCCATGATATATATATATATATATATATATATATATATATATATATATATATATATATATATATATATATATATATATATATATATATATATATATATATATATATATATATATATATAGTATTTTTTCGAGAAATAATGTTTACCTTTTTATTTAATTTAATCCGTTCCGATCATTATGTAAATAATTTAAAGATAGTCCTTTATTATAAACACCACTATCATCTCCATAGCGTGAAACTTTGGACTAGTTCAAAATACAGTTCATTTGGACAGAACTTTCATCATCGGTGTGATACTGAATGGGTTGAAGAGTAAAGCTATTCACCAAAATGAGAGTGAAAATATTACCTTATGTTAAATAAAGTTGGTATTAGCTATATAATTTTGGAAATTATTTGAGCGAACTTGAAACATGGAGAGATTGTTTTTTTTCTTTGATGACCATAAATATTTGTGTATGCAAGGATACTGTTCAGGCCCTTAACTCAAGAAATCCTGTCCCTAGTGATCAAAATAAGTTCATACTCTATTCATTCTCCTAGGATACTGAAATCTGTGTAAATCATTGGTTTGTAATTAGAGTTTTACGACTCCTCGACCAACCCAGTTTAAGCCCCCCGGTGTTCGCTTTTCGTCTTCTTGTCTCAACGAAGAACATTCCTCACTGCTTTGAGGTCAATGAGTAGCAATTCAATGGTAAAAAGCTATAAATACATAGTCGTACACGAGCATTTAAAGCGTATTAGTGAATTGTCCTCACTCTCAGTTTTACAACGGTATTCAGGAGCAGTTTATTTATTTTAGAATCGAATTCTAACCTCACATTATTTAATAATAAGTGATATTTTATTATTACTAACTGTTTGATACAGTTTCTTTCGGTGTCATCAGTAATTCACTTTGACTTATTACTGTTTTTTCCTCTTCATCCTCTCTACCATATAACCACCGTTATCATCACTACGTTCTTCACGTTATTATAGTTCCGGAAAATCATTTCTATGTATCATCGATTTCATCTTATTGTATTTCTCTTCTATGGTTGCTGCTATTTGGTCGAATATTTTTGATTATGCATTATTATATCAAATGAAAAAAATTAATTATAATCTAACTAATCAACTGTCTCATCAACAATTCCCTCCTAAACATCATCATCGTTACCATCATTATCAGTACAAGAATAAATTACATCGACAACAATCACAACATCGGAACCACCGTCGTCGCCAGCGTCATAATCATCACGAACAACAACAACAACCATCTCAACAATACCATAACGATGTTGAAATGAAACATTTTCAATCATATATAACAAAATTCAGTGAGAATTTATCTAAAAAATATAATAAATCGTCAGATCGTTCTATGCCAAAACGAATATCTGATGAACCTTTATCAGAGATAACAAATTCAGTGAATTTAACAAATGAAAAATCATCTGAATTTGAATTAGTTAATGAAGAACATTTTGTTCCGAATAACGATACTACTACTACTACTGCTACTGATACTACTAATAAAAATACACTTGATTTGAATATTGATAATAATAAGAACAACAGTACAACCACTAATGTTTATAATGAAGCAATCATTGAATCATTAAATGTACCAATTTCAAAAGATTGTCCAAGTAATACTAATATGATTAAGAAAGAATGCAAATTATCTTGTTCATTTTCGTCATCATCATCATCATCATCATCATCTTCTGCTTCATCATCTGCATCACCTTCATCATTGACATCTTCATCTTCTTCATTATTGTTGTTATCAAGTCAAAATGTTGATAATGTGGAAAAAATGGATGATAGAGCACAATTGTCTAATAACAATAATAATAATAATAATACTTATACTGATAATAGTTTTACAACTGATAAACTTCACAATCCTATGCATAAATTCCGTAAACACAAAATAAAAGGTTTACATTCAAGGGATTATCATTTTGGTGACAATTATCATAGTAAGCTGAACTGATATCTGTTTATTCTTTTAATGTTGCAATGCATGAGTTTTTGTCCATTTAAACTGTCTCTCTCTCTCTTTATTGCTGTTAGTTTATTGAAGTTATCATCTAGGCGGTAAACGTATTCTATGCTGAAGAGTCAATCAGATTCTAGATAACGCCTACTGTGCAAAATTCAAAAAAACCAACGATCTTATCAAAAACTAACTAAATACTATCAATATTCGCTTACTGAAATATAGGAAGACTAAAGAATAAGAACTATGATTTATGAATTTGTGAAGGTAATTTTAAGGTCCTTGATGTTTATTATCAAAGAAATAACTGATTAAGTATTCATCTTTACAGTGCTATAAAGCATTCGTCTACTCGATTCTCAATCATTACTCCTATCCACTAACGCTAGATTCTAAACGTGACCTTAATTTTCAAGTTCACTCCACTTCAGTTTGAGCAATCGAGTGATATGATTAGGTCTTATTCTTGAACTGTTACTCATATCTAAGTACCTGGTGAATGAGTTAATTTAAGTTAAACCTCATATCCTAACTCTCAACCCCACCTTCTAACCTTAACCCTAAATCCTAAAAAAAAACTAGCCTTTTTTGAGTTTTTATGTGACAAATCATTGATTAGTATAAGTTGTATTCTTATTGCCTGAAAGTTGGTTTCGTCTTCTCAGTCATATTCAAGTCACTGAACGTCTTCAATATGATATATCTTTACTGCTTAGCTATTTGATTTCATAGTTTTTTTCTATGTTATCTGTTCTAGTCTTATACTATACTGTTTCATTCTTAACTGACTGGTTAATTTACTAGACCAATCGAATAGCCTAACACATGATTAAATCAGTTCAAGTAGTTGAAATCTCATTTTCTAATTATACAACGTAGAATAGATTAATGTTAAGAGAGTCTAATAATAGATATGTCCAAGATTTAAAAACGAATGAATGTTTCATGACATTATTACTGCACGTATATATGGTATAGTTCGATTTTCAGAGTTAAATACCGTGTGCCATTATAGAGCAATAAACTGAAACTTATCTGCTTGTTCAATGTTGATATTCAATGGTTCATCAAACAATGATGCTTATTATGTAGTCTAAGCTATTATTATCATTCACAAACGACAAAATTTTCATACTAATAGTTATGTTCTCTAACCAAATGCCCTGGTACAGCCGGTGAGGAGAGTCAGCTCTCTCTCTCTCGAAATGCTCTCACATGGTCACGCGTATACAACCACTACCAGGGAAGCCCTACTCACTGCCTTCTCGCACTACGGGTGTTGTTTACGAAATTGAGAAGACGAAAAACGAATGTCCGGTGCTCTAATAGGGTCGCTTGATATGAACGATCTACCTAGAGGAGTTGAAAAACACTCATTCCAAACCAAGGGTGCACATGGGCTCCATGATCTTGAGGGAACAAATGGCGTATGAACTTATTGTTGATCACCGGCTACCATGGGACTGCATGTCCTGACGCTGCTCCATTGCCTTGTGGATCAGACCTTCAGGTCGAAGACTGCGGGTGTGGCCTCCTAAGAAAACCACCTGCTTCAGTCTGGACACCCAGGCAATATAACAGCCCACACACTAATCGAGTGACTTGTGTGACGCATATGTATTTGGTTCCCCTTTGTACCAATATTTATGTGTTCAAATAAACAAATAATTCATTTAAACCGTTAAAACGTTTAGGTTCAAGGTTCCAACTTGTGCATACATATTTTATTTAAAATAGATAGACTATGGCTAGCAGCGGAATCTAGCATCTTATTCTGGACTTCTCATCTCGATCTACCAACTTCTTATTGCTGATGTTTAAACCGGGGTTCAAAGTCTTCGGCCAACAATATCAATGATGGAACAATTCAAACCATTAATGATTTAACTAAATTCATACCTGTTATACAAGTCAGTGGCTATCTGGATTCAGCAAATATGTGAATAATGCGTTAGACGTTTGAAAATATAGGTACTGCGTTCGAGTCACAGTGCGAACATTAACACTAAGATGTAACAGGTACATTCAGCTGGCCAATCCTAGATGAAAATGAAACGCGCATCCTTAATTCCACTGCTACCTATAGTCTATCTGTTCGATAAAAATTGTGATACATTATCTATATTGAAGCAATCCACACTGGATAAACATCCCAAACTTAGATTAGTTAAAATTCAGCCCAGAATATCAACGATAGGTGTATTCATACTACTTCAAATGAATTCTTCATTAAATATTTCAGTTTTACAATATCTAGATCGTAGTAATCAACCAATTAGTCAATAAGCTTTAGTTAAATATATTACACAGATTTGTACTATCGTATTCAAGAGAATTGATCTCAGTTCATCAATTCTCAGTAATTCTTCATTAAATTAAGTTTAACCATGTAAATTCAGATAATCGTTTTTTTCTGGTTAGCGTCATTGTATCTCCTCATTTCCGTTACTACTTAACTGATCTTCTCGGTCTCCCACATTGTCCGGACGTTCCATGTACCTATAAAAATTGTTGCTCTGATTGTAGCTCTTATAGAGTTACTACCGGTCCCAAACCCAGGTAAAGGAGGAGAGTTGGGCATGGGGTTAGCGACCCCCATCCCGTAGAAAAGTAACTCGCTAAAAAAACCCATCGTTTTTCTAGATGGTTATTTAAAATTAATAATCTATGCATATACCTATAAGACTAAGTGTATTGTATTATGTGTTATTGTTCTGATAAACTTTCTCTGTTTAATGAAAAAAGAAATAACATACGAATTTATAGCAAATGTAATGACAATGGAAGAATATAAGTTCTTTGACATTCTTATGTTTACCACTATTAATATCAGTAGTATTTATTCCGTATACATATATATACGCACCTTATTTTATACAATAGTTACATGAAAAGTTTAGTAATCTTTTGGGATTAGAGTTTTATACTTTCTTCAATGAAATCAATTCTTCTCCTCTACCTTCTTTGTGGGTATATATATATTTATATGTACGTAGATGGGGAGGTATGAGACAAGCGTCAATACAAAAATATTCTTCTTCTTCTTATCATTATAGTATCATATGAGTTTGTATGATTTTCATTTTATCTAATTTTCAATAAACAATTTCCAACTGTGAAATATTTAATGATCAAGAAATCATAATCAATCAACTGATGATATAGTAGTAGTAGTAGTAATAATGAGAATGTGAGCAGAAAAAGGAAAGCCAAAAAGATAAACAACTCACCGATGATTATAGATACATTAAATATGTATGTGAGGTCTTATCAAGGGAATTATTTAATTGATATTCATTAGATGGATTTGCATAATTTTTTTAACAAATAACTAACATCTTGATTATGCATTGTTTAGTCAAAGGAAAACACTATATACATACATAATTAACAAAGAGAGAGTGAGCGAGCGAGCGAGCGAGAGAGAGTACAACAAACACCGACAATCGGTGTAAAACTATGTTAACATACATAATGATGATTGTAAAAATTGGCGTATAAGATCAACATAATATAACTGGGTAGATTACAAGTGTTTCATTATATTTGTCTTCAAAGTACTCCTTTCAACCATAATGAAATGTTATACAATAGAAAGAATCAATCATTGTTAGGATGAAAGAAGACTATTACTGATCAATCGATAGATGATGTGAAGTGATATGATGTGGCTAAATAATATCTGCTCACAACACCAAATTATTGATATAGGACTCCTAAACATTTGAAATCAAAGATTTGCCAGATCACTAGACAGAAGAATAGTTTCCTTTTATGCAATATAATAAAATGTTATAGGGGATTGTAGGAAATCAATTTTTTCGCAGGTTACTCACTTTTCAATCGATTAGGGCCTAACTGCTAAGTCAAATATTTGCCCATCATATCATAAAACCACCAGATCAGCCATAAAGTTCAAGTCAGAGACAGCAATTTGACTACTGAAGAGAAACATATACATCGATTTGGGGTGACTGTATCATATGTTATGCTTATCTAGCCATTACCTACTCGAATGATGAACAAAGCTGGCTTAGATTTAAGTAGACTAAGAAGAAAGTTAAAGTTGATATGAAATGTCAACTATTGACTGTCAGATCTACACTATTTTACAAATGGTAAACTAGAATCGAATACTCAGTTCATTTTCTCTGTGATTTCGATTTCATAACCCAACATCAACTTACTATAAAAAAGATTATCTCTACGTTAATCTATTCCTTGAAATTGTAAATATTTTATTCCTCTATTTTGTACTTATTTTTCCTTTATAACTACTTTTTTCTCTCTGCAGAATTACATTCTTCTCCTTCCAGTCATAACCATAGTCTAGTATGCTTGGAGTCGATTCCTCAACATTCACCAGGAATAGATAGTATTTGTTTAAATCCATATCATAATTATCATGATCGTCGACATCATCCACATCAACACCACCTTCATCATCATTGTCGTACTGGTAGTCATAACTACTATCAACAATATAAATTTGGTTCATTTACTGGAATCCCACTAAATTCACTTGTCGATTTATTATCGTCTGATTGTATAGATTCATGTTTTCATTCATCCTCGTGTTTTCCGATTTCTAAACCATTAATCTCACAAATATTATGGATTCAACTATTTACTAGTGATAAATATCTTTTTATTCACAACATTGATACAATTGGAACTGTTGATGATAATACTACTAAACATGGCCATCATAATGAAGAGGATGGTAATGATGATGCTGCTGATCACGATGACAAAATTGATGGTCATTTTTTAAATACAAAAACTACCGCTAATACTACAACAACAACAACTTGTTCTCATATGAGATCACTTATGCTAAATCAAGGTGTTATCATTTCATCACCAATTAATAACCAGTCAATAAATACTCAACCGCAAACAACCTGTTTACATTTCTTAGCGCTTGCTATCCCTTTGGTGTTTACGTTGATTATTTTGACAGCTGCAGAAGTAAGTTTAATGATGTTTATTTTGTTTTAATATACATGAAGAACAGCAAGAAACCCTGATCAACATAGATGTCGTGTCAGGTGGCGCTCGTCATCAAGGCGTATTTGAAACCTTCATGAACTGATAGTCCCTATACGATGTGAACCTGGATTACCACTCTACTGTTTGGGTGACGACTGTCTGTAAAATTGTGATGTTTACAATTGATTAATCATTGAGTCGTGACCAATGTCATGTTTTTCTAGCTCTTAGTGCTGACCAAGGGTCTATCAATAAAGATGTGTTGTAGTCACCAATCTCAATAACATGATATCGCTTAAACTATGGAAATATTGATCTTTTGGAAATTGTCAACTGGAAATCCTGGATCTAGGTTCCAAGCTAGTTAAGAATCATCAGCATGGCTTTGATGTATTACTCTTCCCTACTCCTTAACTGTGGCACATCTATTTTGAATAAATATAATTTAAGAGTTCATCAAATTACTTTTGAGTAGTATTCAAGCTGTTACACCATTCTGCATCATTAAAATGGCGTCTCGTTTTCATAAAATTCACAAATTCGAAGTGAAATACTTCACTGGAAATTAAATCTTATTGTGGTTTATATCACGGACTGACTCTATTTAGACAATCATTAAGAATCATGAAGCATTGTAAACATGCTCCATCCAAACATGGGGCTTCTCAGTAGTATACACCCGCGACCCAACCAATAATCTGATCAGTGACTTTCAGATCTTGTGGCGAGCTCTTAACCTTTCTACATCACTAAGCTGATACCAAATAGTCTACACGTTTAACTTCAATCAATTTACTGTTTCACTCAATCATCTCTTAATCTCATTGGTGAGTAACTAACCTCTCCCCCTGACATGCTTAAACTTCACTGGTGAAACCTTTTCAGTAAAACTCTTAGAAAATACTTCTAGAAGCTAACAATTGTTTATTTTTACTCTTCTCTACTGCATATCTTATTAGATTGATGGAAATTCATTGAGTGGAATTTGTTCTGTTGGTTTAATCAATATATGGGCACGTGTTGGACTATTATTAATCCCGTTCACATTATGTCTAATAATAAAATTCTATTATTTTATTCAATTAATGCATCAATTTATGAAATTACGTCATAAGTTCTTGTTATCCTCATTTCATGTGGATCATGAAATAGCTCAACGTTTAGTACGTTATTGTTTATTTTATGGTAAGTTTTGTATAGTAAATTATGAGATATATATTTGTATTAAATGATTACAGTTTCAACGGGATAACTTGTACTAGTTCTACATTAATGACTGAAGACGTTTTGGATATCTGATGGACAATATATATCAGTGTGAATGTCGGATGTTTTTCACAATTCCTGCAATAGAATATATTATAATGTGATAAGTAATTGGAGGTAACTGGCAGAAAATCTTACTCGACCTAGGTTTCGTGCAGCTTGACATTCGTCAGTGTAAGGTCGAAATCCAATCGTGAGCGAATCAATATTTTTCGGTGTATTCGAATTGGCTGTTCCCAGGTATACAGAGAAGTTACCACCGAGTTATTCGAGCTGTGATTGACCTAATGTAGGATTGAAATATATACAACTGATTGATCACTTAATAATGACCATCGTTAAATCTATCTAATTCTTCAGTTCTTATCGAGTTCCATCGATTAAGTAATATTGCTATAGTATTTGATATGAGAATTCCGGAAATCAAAGTATCAAACGCTTATAAACTTGGTATTCAGTGTTCCCACTTGATTATTTTCAGTTAAACTGTTCGTCGCCTACTGTTTGTTCATGGATTCTCTCTCTTTATAAGCCTTTATTTTGTAACGCTTAACTAAGTATAACTAATTGTTTGCCAATCTAATCTCCCAGTTTCTTTTTAAAAAAAGATATACCTATCTCTGGTATCTATGCACATCATAGTTTAACCTCTATTGAACATCTTGCAAATAAGATAGCACCGATAATAATGTGAAAGATTGAATATTTGGAATATATCTTGAAAAGAAAAACTATGCATGAAGGAATCTTAGAACTCGAGTAAAATAAAGAGTAAATTCATCTGAGTCATTGTAAATAACTCTGAGCTATGTCAACTGGTCTCTTCATCTACTTACAAAAATGTTGTGTATAATTGGCTTCAAACAATTGTCCCTTGGTCTGTGTAGTTACATTGGCTCATCGTAAAATGACTATCTCTAGCTAACCATGAGACCAAAAAAAAGATAATGAGTGAATAAAAGTGAATTCGATGACATTATTACGTAATTAGAGTGATTATTGCGACCGATGATTTGAAATGTTATATGACATGACTCAAAGTTTGTAACAATGGAACAGATGAATATACTCTTTATGTTCCTCGAAATGCTAAGTTCCAGTTAAACATCTTACACACCTTTTCTTACTGTCTTTTTAAAACCGTATCCTCAATGTGTGGTCCCTTATTATTTTCATCTCACTTTTAATTCGTCGTGTTGATGTAATATGTTACCTGAGCTAAAGCATATTTGTGACATGCTCTATATTGATTAAGTCTAATGAACTTATCTTTAAGTAAATAATTGATACTGACCTGTAACAAACAGATATGTAACAGCCATGACGGTCGATTTTTGTTGTTGTTGATGTTTACAGAAGCATGCAGCATGCCTATCGATACTATTTCTTGTTTAACTACTCATATCTATAATTCAGTAGTATGTTACATAACTTAACTTCCCATGAAAACACGAATGTTATATGGAGTGGCAGTTTGAGGTTGTCGATCACCACATGACATTTCAATATATCGCAAGTGATATTGATTCATTTAGATTAGGGGGAACATTACAACTTGATCGATAGAATTTGATCAACAGTAAAGAGAAAAAGACTTGACATACATGACCATTGGTCAATCTCTATTAAATCATCAATCCATTATACAAACATTGGATTTTATAAATACACAATTAAATATTAATATTATGTAATTTTATTTATTTATTTATTTATTTACAAACCAGGTATATTTCTGATGTTTCTACTAAGTTTATGGTTATTTTCAATTTGTATTCATACTTATGTATATTTAAATGAACCTGTCTGGTTGGAATCACAACGTCGTTTATTCTTGTAAGTGTAATCATATTATTTTATTTATGTTATAGGGACAGAGCGAATGTGTCTGATTGATTTTCATTCATTCATTCATAATTAAAGTATCATTTCCAATTGTTGTATATCATATTAGCGTAGTGAACGAGAATATCAAGTTGGGGGCAGTCGAATGTATTTGAATACAGAATTACATCTTAGTAAAATTTGAGAATCATATAGTAAATATTTCATTTGTAAAATGTCAATCAATCGTCTAGGACTTGATTGCTCCTTCGTTTCCACATCAATCATTCTTTGTTCTCATTCTCTTTTCTTTGATCTTCTTAAACCTTTTCCATCAAGAATTTCACTTTCAACTGATGATACATACTACTTATATTTGTCGACATCAGTAACACACACCACACTATGAAACTATCATAATAAATCACAGAGTAGTGGAACTTGTTAAGAGTATCAGTAGTTGTAGAAAAGATTGGGTAAGTGTAGTATGATTAGAGAAGAAAGAATGAATTCATGAAGTAGAAATAGAGAGATTATAATTTATGGACGAACTAATCAGATATAAGATAACAGGTCTTGGATTTTGGTGCGAAATTCTTTCATCCATTTGGATAAATGACGTTTCGGCATTTTAGTTGATATCAGTTCGTGATGAAAACCCTAAATCTATTCCTAATCCTAATCATCAACTGTAAATCATAAGTCTAATTCCTCACACTGGTTTATAATCCTGATCTATTCCTAGTAAGTGGGTAAACATTCTCAAGGTCATTTTAGAGTCGCTCAAAGTTCATCCATAAATTATAGTCACACCATAGAAATATATGAGACAATTTGAAAAATTGGGATTTAAAAGAAGCATAAGGAGTGAATGTATGTTTGCAATTGAATCATATCATCCAACGTCTCTAATCATGAGTTACATTAATCGTGTGGACACTAATCAGATTATCTGAATCTACTAAGATGGCTCACTCTAACGATTAGTGACTTTATGAATAAATGTCAAGTTTCGGATTGGCTTTCTCTAGATATCCTCCAACACTAATCAATAATGCATATCGAGGTAGGAAATGATTTAGTATATGTAATACATTCCTCAATCACTTCAGTCAATGAAGAGTCATTATCTGGTCAACCAATCAAAATAATCGAAAACTAGCAATTCATTTGCACATAATTCTATATGAAAGAGTACTTTTATAATTAGTAGTGCTTCTTGTATAAACGTTTTCTTCATTTTTGATATATTTGGTATTACTGGGATAAAAGTTGACAAGCCTAAAGTATAATTTAGTATTCATTGTTTATTAATTATTTAATTAATTAAGTTCTATAATTGATGAATACCAAAATCCTATTGGTTTCCACTGCTATTCGCAATCCATCCAGTCTAGATAATTCACATTTACGCTAACAAAGATTCACCAAAATTCAGTCCTAAACATCAGCAACAAGATAACTTAAACCCTTATTATTAAGGACATAGGCATCATATGTGTTGAAAAGGTTTCGTGGCTATTTGGACTCGACTGCTCAGTGAATAATGAACTGAGTGTTTAAGGCAAAATGTTTATGGTTGAAATTCCAATTTGTGCATCAACACTGAGCTGTGACGGGTACATCCAGTTAATGAGTCCTAAATATGATGAAACACTCTTACTGGATTTCATTGTTAACTACAATCCACCTATTCTATTTAAAATTCATTAAGAGTTGGAAATATATCCCTAAATAGCTCACTATCATCAACTGTGAATATCTTAGATATGTATTCTGTTGTGGAATTCAAAAGTATGCGTTGGAAAAGTTCACAGAGGTTCAGAAAATGTTTGGAAACGCCTTATCCAATCACCGTTGAATAAAAACTCTTCTGAAACATTTAAAGAGTCAAGAGTTTCGTGTCAAATTCCTAATTGGATACTGACCTATACTGATACCATATTTATTATGGTCTTAGAAACTTCCAGAAGGCTAATGTTGTGTGTAACATCGTTTTTCTGAACGTAAACGAACCTTAAAGTAATGCGTTTTTCTTTCACACTTCGCTCATTTTCTCTAGTGTTCAAGTTACCGTGTCGAGTTAGCGTGAGGTTATCAGAAGCGGCTTATCACATTCAATGCTTATGAATAATTTACCAACTCAGTTTATTGTTATTATTATTTAAGCACATAAACATTGGTACAAGGAAGCAACAGATATATATGCGCCACACAGATCATTGGATTTATGTGAGAGTTAGAATACTGCCTGGGCGCCTAAACAGAAGCAGGTGCTTTTCTTAGAGGGCCGCTTCCCGAGCCTTCGACCTACAGGTCTAATCCACAAGTCAGTGAAGCAACGTTAAAAGATGCAGTTCCATGGTGATAGGTAACCGACAACAGATTCATACCTCTTTTGTCCCCTCAGAATCCTGGAGCCCATGTACACCATTGGTTTTGGATGAGAGTTTTCCAACTCTCCTAAATGAATCCTCCATATCTATTAACCTAGTTAAAGCCTCTGCCGGACATTCGCTTTTCATCCTCTCAATTTCGTAAACAGCACTCTAGTTTAGAGAAGGCAGTGAGTTATATGCACGTGGCCATGTGAGAGCATTTCGAGAGGGAGAACGGACTGTCCTCACTCTGATCCGTACGAGGCATTCGAGGGGAGTTTATCTAATGTAATCTATCATAATTCCCTTTATGCTTCATTCATTCAACATTTTAAGGAACCTTACCATTAGAAATTTGTAAACGGGTTTCACTAGCGTTGAAATCCACAACCCAACTAGGGACTAAACTTAAAATTTTCACGTCTTAGGTCAAGTACTTATTAACCTTTAGTCATTCATTACTATTAAAGATAATTTTTTCATTCCCTCAATATTATTGAACTGTTTAAATGTGTATACTAATTGTTTGTATTTATTCCGTTGGCATCTGTAAGCATCATTACCATGATTTTTCTACACAATTGTTTCTTTTCTTTTCTTGTCTATCAGATGTCGAATACGTTATCGTCTATTAGGACTTGATGAATTAGCCTCAATGAATGTTTGTGTAAATACAGCTTTTTCGTATGAAACTGTTGATACATCACCATCTTCAATATTGTCATCATCTGCAGCAACAATGGCTGCATTCACTCCATCATTGAATATTCATTCAAATCATATAAGTTCAACATTTCCAACGAAAAATCATATCTCAATAGATGATTCCTTCATGTTAAACAATATGGCTGATTTGCAATCATCATCTACACAGTCAATATCTGATTTGTTAATGATGAAATCATCTGATCTACAAATACACCACCAACAACAGCAAATTGTGAAACAACAGCGACAAACAGGAACATCAATTCAACAGAATAATGATGAGACAGCATCATCATCGTCATTAACTGCAACACGAATGTCAACTTATCTGCCTATTGATAATGATGAGATGATATCGATTCAAAAGCCATCCGTTGGTCCATTACTCTTACATTTAATCGTTTATTTCGCTATAAATCTCTTGTATAATTCAATGTGTTTACTAGATCCATCAGTGAAACGAACTTGGTGGTATTTGCTTAAACGGTAAGACTGTTTAACTGTATTCTTTTCTATATTACGTGTTTATTTATTTGTAGTAAGGTAATTCTCAATGGACTTTGTATTTGTGTTAATTTTTGTGATTTGTTTTAAAGCTAAAACTATCACAATGCTTGATAAATTGTTTATTCAACTTTACTATGGTTACAGTTATTTATGCTACAGTTGGCTTTTTTGGTGATTATATCATTAACTGGAATGTTGTTAATGGTTTAAAGACAGTTTCAGGTCGCTTACACTATAGAAGAATGCGTCTTGTTGAGATGCTTATAAAGGTGACTAGATTATATATGGTAGTCCGGACGACCCCGGAGCGTGATCATGATGTTCAAAGAACAACTGCTTGAGGTCGATCACACACAGGCTTTCTATAAGTATTTTTATGCAGGATAGCTCCATACTTTTTACACCTCACTGCCGGAGATAGAGGTTTGTAAAGCAAAGTAAGAGTGCAATTTTTAAGGTTATTCTTTTTAATCGCTTCTGTCCATTACGAGAAGGCGGTATCGCGTTACAGATGCTGATTGTTTGTGAAGAAAATACTCTACTGCCGTCACCATATGATAACCGTGATTAATAGCTGAAAACTTTGGTTAATATAGCTCATAATCTATCTCACTGGTGTATATGAACTCATTGTTCATCTTCCTTTGGTTCTTGAGCTCCAACATTCCTTCATATAAACCTTTCCACCTTGATTTTTCGAACCATATTTTAAGTATTTATTTATTTTTATCATTATTATTGTTACACCTTTTTAAAATCCGTTTGTTATTCGTCTCATCATACCGTTGTTGTATAACCAGTTAGGTTAAGTCATATTTGGGTAGGGCTGTATGTTGGATATTAGTGACAAAGATGTTTTATACAACATATGTGATTACCAGTAGAAATCATTTAGAAAAATCACTTAGTTATTTCCAATAGTAAATTGAATTCTTGAAGTTATTCTCTACGTTATATTTTTACGTCTGTTATCATTGAAGAACATGTCAATGTAAAATTGACGAGCGATGCTATTTTTTGTAGAAGTAGGAGTAGGTTGTAGGTAAGCTAGTAGCGATCAAACCAAGAAGTGACACCAGTCATTAATAATTAGACTGAATCATGTTAGTAAGTGTTGGCTGTTTAGTTGATGTTCTCGTGAATATCGTAACCAATAATTAGAAACTTTGGTTAGTAATTCCAAAAAAAAATAATAAAAATGATGCTAATGGATTCAATCCTTGTTCTTTTTTCAAATCTGAGTTCCGATTTCTCTTTGGTCATCTTTGTTATTTTCTCTATACCTAATCTTTCCTACTATTACTAATAAAGACAATGTGTTATAACTTATACTACTCTGGGATTATTTGTCTTGAAATTATTTGATCTCATTGTGTTCATATGCTATGATAATTTAAACTGATCCATTTATTCATTAATTTCTACGTTACTTATAATGATGTGTTCAACTATTTTGAAGTTGAATTAATCTTTAGCCATCTACACATACACAGTCACATAGGCACATGTCTGTTCAATCTGTTGTCTTGTATTATTTTCTTTCTTTCTTGTTAATTACCAGTTGTATGCTGAACATATTAATATATTTTATCTTTCATTCTATGTTATATGTATATTATTACAGAGTTATATTTTGGTTTCAACGTAAAAAGAGAAATTTCTTTCATCATCAACGGCAACAACAGCATCCACGTAACCGGCATCGCTATCAACACCGACATTATCATTCACCTTATTCACATGATTATAGTGATAATGATAATGATCGTGATATTGTTCATAATAATAATAATGAGAATGAGAATAATCTTGGTATCTTGAATGATAATGATGATTTCATTAAATCTTATTTAAATCATTTAATAATTGGATTCAGTTGGTGGGATCCTGGTTTCTTTATAATACCTACACCGATTCTATCAAATAATGATTTATGGAAAAAATCTGGCGTATTTTATTCACATGAAAAATATTCTAAGAAATTACAAGATTTTGAATTAGTCAAACGTAAATCAAATCGTTTTACTGATCATGATAATAATTATTCTACTACTAATACAAATACTACTACAATGATTAGTAGTAGTATGTTAAATTGCACTGACAATAATGATGGCAATCATCATCGTCATAAACTTGTCAATAAAATTAATCATACTACTGATCATGACATTGTGGATTTTAATGCAGATAATAATGATAATAATAATAACATCCTAGAGCAATTGGATCATGTAGTGAGTCCATTGGAATCATTATTACTGTTGTTACAATCAAACACATCAAATCCTCAACATTTATCGAATTTATTATCGAAATTACTACTTTTATCAGTGAATAACAATAATTCGAATGGTTTATTAGAACAGTCAGTTTTAAATCAGCAAAGAAATTCACAATTATCTTCAACATCATCTTCATCACCACCGTCTTCAATTCATGATAATAATAATAATAATTTGGAAACTTTATTATTGTTCGTTTTACGCCAATTGTATCAATTATCATCTACAAGTGGGTTGACAGGTATCTCTAATGATAATGGTCCTGTTAAACATCAGGATAATGTTATTACTACTAGTTCCACAACTAATACTACTATTACTAATAATAATAGTAGTATTGGTCTTAGCCAAAATACTAATCATAATTTAACTGGCAATACAATGATCAATCAAACAACAGAATTGATTCCGACTACTTTGATTCGTAATAGTAGTAATGTTAATTTGACTGGGAGTAATCATCATCATTCCAATCATTCTTTGTCCCATCAGTCAGATCTAACAGCTACATTGACTGCGGCAGCTGCCTATGAACAGTATCAAAAACAGTTATCGGATTTAACAGCAGTAAGTTGATTTGATTACATAGGAAGAGGTTAATTATGTAGTTTTTGCCGATAACTTTCATAACAGGCTGATACCAGCTGAAGATTAACAAAAAACCAAGGGGTATTGAATAACTCTAACATAAAGACTCACCAGGTTGTATGGAAAGCTTATGTCCCTGTGGAATTCAGTCATGTCGATAGTTGTACAATCATCGCCACTTATACTAAGTGACCATTGCATTATTTTATACATACACCATTAGATTGGAGCCCAGTGTTTTGAAGATATTATGCTGGTCACTTAACCTAAAGTTCCCTATGCATGATACCTTGCAAGATCATAGTTGAACACTGCTGAGGAGTTATAAACTGGGGTAAAAACAGTTGTCGATCACTCACCAGTAGTTATCGATTGTTCTATTTCTGATTTCGATCTATAAAAACTGGTTAAGTGGGATCATTCTTATCAGACTTATTCAATTATACGATCATTATTTCTACTCATTTTTTCATTTTAGAGCATCACACAACGTCGAAGCAGGCACAAACGATTATTATCTGGACGTTCGTCAAGTAAATTACTTTTTTGATGTATATAAGTGTATATCATATTCACACTGCTCATGTGTTTACGAATATAAATCTGTAGAAACCTGTCATTTCAGCCTCCCCTGATGTGATCAAAATTTAAATTGTCAACATTTTGGTTGAACCTCTTTTCCTGGTAGCTAATAAAAATCTGGTATTCAGTTGAATAACACTTTCGGTCCTAGCAGTTATTAGAACATTGGCGTACATTGTTGAATCAAGCACCGAATTCTAGAAAGTTACTGAATACTCCTCGGGCTCCAATATTTAATCAAAATGGTTTTCCTAAAAGACTGATCTCCGTTTTTTGACCCCATGGGTTTAATCTACAAGGCGATTGATGCAGTCCGATGGTAGCCGTTAATTAAAACAAGTTTATACGCCATTCGTTCTCTCGATATTTTGGAGCTCAAGCAACATATTGGTTTGGGATTGGGACACTCCAACTTCCCTAGGCTAAAATATCCATGTCCATCAACCAGGCCTAATCTCCGAATGTTTGTTTGTCGTCCTCTAACTTTCGTGAAAACTATGCACCACATAAGGGCAGCGGATCGAGCTTACTTTCCTGAGGCTGTTAATCTATCCCCATATAAGAGCATATTCTAAAGTAGAGTAAACTCTCTCCACCCTCAGTTGTAACAGCAATTGGGGCCAATAATTGAATACGACCATGTAGGGTATTTTGAATGGATTTATTTATGTATTTACCGCAAGTGTATTGTAAGAGATCATATAAATATAGGATAATATGTTATTGAATAGTTATATGTTACATCAACTGTCTCATAACTAGCAATTCATAAATCAATTTAAATGAAGTGAACTTAGTTTCCGTTCTAGTTAGCATTCATCATCAAAGTGTACCTACAATATTGAAGAAATTGATTATTCTTGTCACATTCGCATCACCCAACTTCACCGTCCGTATATTTACCACTGAGCTTTTAGGTACTCGACTGACCTCATATAAGACTAAAATACGTACACTGATTGGTCACTCAGTAGTAATCAAGATTAAAACAGATAGAGAAAGGGAAATGTTTTCCTTTGTTATTTATACTTGATAGTTAAAGTCGAAATAAATACCTTTAGCCATAATCTATTGTCTTAATGTAATTTTCAGGCTTTAAAGTACTATTTAAAGTGGTCACTAATTATTAGCTAGTGGAAGTTGTTTTAAACACTTGAGTAGACGATTTTGCTAATATCCTAGGCATTTGATTTTAAATATTTCACCTATATGACGTAAGAGACTGGATATAATTTTTATGAGCAGTACATATACTAGTGCTTTACGAATGCAACACCTTAACAATCATCAAATGCAATAATAAAAATGAAGAAATTGTTTTTTTTGGAAGAATCCTTTCATTGACTGACTAACTCTCCAGTCAGAAATATTATAATATAACTATATATGGTTTATATCAGATAGGGTTATGTGGATATTGTAGTAATTTTAATAGTTGAGATCATGAATCAATTGAAGCTATACCATCATGGAAAACCTGGAAGCACTGGACGGCCATTTCGTCTTACTGTGGGACTCCTCAACAGCGCGCATCCATGGTTTATGGTTTATCAGTGATCTTAAAAAAACATACAGTAAGCCAGTATATTAAATGGTTAAGCAGACAATGTGAACAGTTTTATCTAGTATGAAATAAATTATGCAGAACTTCGTTTTGGAGTGTTTTATTTTATTAAAGCTTTTGCGATATTTATCCACCATTCATCTCGATAAATTATATTAGAATTACTAGAGTATAAATAGAAAAATACCTCTGGTTTGTTGGGTAAACAATTATAGATCTCTTTCATGAGTTCTCTATGTTTTGTGATGATCTAGGTAACATATGGTAGAAATGTAAAAAAATATAATTATATCTACAAATGACTAATCACTGAGTGAAATGACAGGTATCACGGATGTCAAGTCTTTCTTTATTGATGACCACATTCTGTCTATCAAGTTGTAATGTGACCACTAATCTAAGTGATTCGATATCGCGTGTACTATGTTGATATCCGAAGTGGTGGTCGGACGTCGTCAACAGGAAGCTTTGTACTTGGATTTTATCCTATTCGGCACTCGTTAACAAGGTGTATCCGCCAGGGAACATCATTCCCCTCAAGATTACAGATACGCCCAACTGACACGTGTCAAATGATATGAAATCTTTGTCCAGGGTTTCCTTCTGTTATAACTCTCGGTTCTTCTTACGTTTAATGGCCCAGCTATTCCTATTGCTTAGTATTCTTGGACACCGATTCACTCGACAAGTCCCCAAATCAGAACACGGTTGAACAGCAAAGAGATTATATTCCAAATAGCAAGTCAGAAGCACAATAGGGAAAAACGTCAGTATATTTATAGTTTTTACATAAGAAGATTCCAGAATATTCTCCAACTATCGACTAGTGCTGATTGGATAAGAATTAACCAATCAGCGTGCACCAAAGGAGTCATGCATTGAGCATGCTTTAATCTAGTCTATGTCCCGCTAACACCTTCCGACTACCTTCAACTACCACGTTACACAATTATATCCACCATGATTATGGTCGCAAATAATTGAACAACTTAATGATATATTTCAGCTTCATATCAATTTTTATATTCAGCCAACCTTTAAATATCAGATTAGAATCTCGTTTATTGATATACACCTAATTCCGTATACAGAACAGCCCATTGTTATACCTTGAGGATCGCGGTCCAATATCATTTGCCAATCACTAATCAAGATTCTAATTCGAATGTACTCTACTTCGCGTTTTCCACTTTTTCGACAGCCTAGTGTCCATAATTTTATCAAGTACAGGCTCGATCAGTTATTTTCAAGTTAGTGATCAGCCTCTGCTATGTCTATATTTCAAATAGACGTAGTTTATACACAGACAGACCAGACCTCATTACATCATAAAACAAAAATTAAAAACTATGCATGAACAAGTTGGAAGTAGCTGTTAATAGGGCTTACTTACTGACTTACGCCTGTTACTTCTCGTGGAGGAGCATAGGTCGCCCATCAGCATTCTGTATCGAACTCTGTCCTGCACAATCCTTTCCAGTTGCTACTCATTCTTTTGATGTATGCTTCCTATTCTCGATGCAGTGTGTATTTGACCTTCCTCTCCCGTTTCCCTTCAGGATTCCAAGTTAGCTCTTTCTTCGTGATGCAGTTTGATGATTTCCTCAATTTATGTCCTATCTTCTTCCAATTTCTTTTCATTATTTTCTCTTCAGCTGGAATAGGACAGACTGTAAATAGTCAACTGACAACAAGTTAGGAATAGTAAAATGTAAAACAGTATGTAATGAGTCCACTGAAAGCTTATGATAAGTAAAACATATAAGCATAGTAATTCAGGTACTTAGTAATTACGTAACAAAATTATAATTAAAAATTACAACTAAAAAAAACTCGTTCCAACTTTTACACTATTCATTCTGTCATAACACTTACCATTAGTTATATCTTATTATTTACTCACTTAACATAAATATAGACCTAATAATGTAAGTAGAATCTGTAAATCGTCACTTTAATGATAAAAAGCAAATAATTTTAATGCTTATCACTTTGTTGATTTTGTTTATCTGAATATACTTTAGTTGTTTATTCGAGTCTTTTTTCCTTCTTTTTTTCTTTAAAAACATCATTATTCATTCAGTTCGTCGTCGTAGTCAATCGCATAGTCTACCTACAAATGGTTTATTTTTACCTAGTTTAACTACATCAATGAATGTTACCAGTAATAGAATAAATTCTTCATTATATTCTACAGAATCCAAATCAATCGAACAACCATTTACATCAATTCAAACAGGAACAATAACAACAACAGCAGCAGCATCAGCAACATGTTTACCACTTGGAAGAAGAGGTTCATTCAATGTATTGCAAGCTGCAGTTTCTATGTTTGCTGCTGCAGCTGTCGCTTCTACCAAAATGAATAATAATGTTAAAAGTAATACTAGTAATAATTCTTTCAATAATCGACGCCGATTAAGTCAATCTGGTTTAAGTGGAATTGATACATTTTCTACACATCATTTGGATAGTTCTAGTGGTACAGCTTCAGGTTAGAATGATTTATTTTTCTATATAATACGGTTTTTAAACAAATTATTTTTATCACTATAGGGTTATGGAGATTATTGTGTTTCATTTAAATCATGAACCGAACAATTTTAGGCCACCATTGAAAATCTGAAAGCACTAAACAGACGTTTCTTCCTAGTATAATGCTAATCAGTAATGTACACTAGTGACCCTTAGGCGTTCAAACGCCTAAAGTTTAGACCACTAATTCGGTATCCAATATTGTATACGTTTAACTTCAATCAATCCACGGTATGGCGCGATTATATTCCCTTGTCTCCGGTGGGTAATTGCCTCACACATGACACGGTTGAAATTTATTGGTCACAGCCCACTAGAACTCCGAGAATTTTTTGAAATGAAATATTTAGAATAGATAGATTGTGGCCAGCAGAAATGGATCCTGGATGCATGTTTCATCTTATGTAACAATCTGTCGGTTAGATCTTAATGTTGATGATTAACCTTGGAACTCGAACCTAGTACCTTTCACTTTAAATGCCAATACGTCATCCACGGATCTACTCTATCCAGATAACTACCTATTTTCTCAACGGATATAATGTTTAGATAATTATCATAAAGGACTTAAAGTTTTCAACAGTGATGATATTCAGGACTAAATTTTTATTAATCTTTGTTAATGTGTCGTGTATGAATTCCATTGGTATAGTCATTTTTACCACATGTTGTACAAAATAGATTGATTTTGGCTAATAGTGCAATCTAGTCAGTTCATTTCATCCTATTCAAGGGTCTTCAACTGAATGTAGAGCCTATCTCGAGTTTAGAACCTCCTTGTACTTGAAATTAAAACGTCCTAACTATTAAACAATCGCTCCATATTGATTTGCACACCAGTCTTGCGAATTCCTACTTCAAATTCATTATATCAGTTACGTATAGATATAATGATCGTACAACACTCACCAATATCAGTTAGACAATGGTTAAAAATAAGGAAAGACTGGCTTCGAGACCGAAGATCCTTGGTCCGATCCTCAATAGAGTCATGAATGCTCACTGGTAAGGAGGATGGAATACCTTTCTAGTGCTTTCTGGTTTTGGTTGGTTATCTAACTAAACTCACTCCATGATGTAGACTGTGAAAATTCCACAATTCCTCGCAAATTTCCCATACTAATAACTATACAATATCTTAATATTTATAACTCACTTATTCATTAGTTTTATGATTTTATGGAAACCGATCATTTTATTCGGTAATTGTGTATTTAATTGGATTATTCATCATTAAAAATTCTAACCACAACTTTCTATCATAAACATTCTGGTTTACAATTTCGCAGATATGATCTGGTTGATAAAAATGCATAGATCATGGTAGTTATAAATTTTATGTTGAAACCATCTTAAAGAACTTAATTTCCACATGACTTCAATGTAAACATTTTGGATAAAATTTGACAATACATGTATGTTGATGGTGCAGAATTCTAAGTGAAATAACTACTTATTTACCATACAAGATATATGAATTAGTTACAGTTTGACTGAAATCATGAACTGATCTAAGTTAGACCATCATTGAAAATCTGGAAACACTCAACTTAGATCAGTTCATGATGTCAATGAAATTCAGCAATCTCCACAATCTGATACTGAAAAAAAAACCCAGTTTGTGTTGCATCCTTTAGTCGATTTATTCTTACCATTTCTCATGGCACCATTGTTGCTTTTTGGGATACTGGTGAGTTAAGATATATCTTTATGTTGTGTCTGGTCCCTCGAGAATGAAAAAGCAGGCTTATCTACTCGATAGGTAAGATTGAGGAGCGCTGCGATATTCATCTTAAAACCTAACAGCTTCATTTCATTTCATTTATAGCTTTTGGTGGAAGTCAAATCTCGTCAACATCCATTCGAAGTGCTTTAACTAGTGTCGGTCTATCTCATCGTCATCACCGCCATCATCATCATCACCGTCGCCGACGTCAAAACAATCATACTCGACCATCTTCAACATCTGAAGCTCGCTTAATTAATAGTATCAATAATTATAATAATAGCACTCTGAATAATATACAATCTAATACCATTGGTCTATCGACCACTACAAAGTATAATAATAGTAATAATAATAATGTACATAGTATGGGCAGTCGAATGTCATCATTACGATCAATATCATGTGCTTCTTCGTCAGGTGCTGAATCATACAACTCGTATCGATTATTAATTAATCAAGCTGGTGCAAGTTGGCGCGAATTATGGCGTACACGAATGTTATTAATGCATGTGTTACGTTGGGCTGAAAATGTTACATCATTTATGCAACCGAACACTAACACTACTACTACTAGTAATAATAATAGTAGTAACAATATAAATTCCAGTGTACTTAATGATGAATTTAGTAAATCACAAATTAGTCTATCAAACCATTTTGATGCACCCATAAATAATAATATAGACTGTGTGAAAACACCGACAACATGTATTACTACTACTATGATGACGGTGACGACGACCACATCAGCTATTGTTACCACTTGTAGTTGTGACGATTTCAGTGATGGAAGTAGAAGTAGTCCATGCAATATTAATCAACAAATACCGGTATTCACGTCTAAACCTACCGATGGTATAAATGATTTCAATGGACAACTAATTCAATTGATAATGTCATTGATTGGACAACAAAACCAGAATCAATTTGTCAATCCTGGAATTGGATCCCAATCAAAACTGGACATAGACACACAATTATCAACTAACCCACTGAATAATTTACATATTGAATCACCGTTACAAACAGTTATTACTACTATGACAACAACAACAACTACTACTACTATAAGTAGTATCAGTCATTTCGTTGGACAAACACATCAGTTGACCACTATGGATCCTATGATGGCAGCAGCATTTGCTGCGGCAACAGCGGCAGCTACTGTAGCTCTACAACAACAACAAGCTTTACGCCAGTCGTCGCCATCGAATTCAACATCATCTCCCGCCGCTATCGGCGCTGTTACTTTTGGTACCCCGACATCTACCATTCATAATTACAACAATGATATCAAAATGTCTCATCAGAATGTTAATACAAGTAATGCAAATATTAACAGCCAATTCTGTCACAATGTAAATCATCCAGTTATGACACATTGGACTACTGGATCATGTTCACTAGGACCGATGGTTTGTTGTTTATACTTTAAATGTCTTTTTTTAGTGTTTCAATGGTGTTGTGTTTCTCGATCCAGATGACTTGTAATTATGAAACTTTCATTTTCTTAGGAGGCCAATCCCGAACCTTTGACCTAGAGGTTTAACCCACAAGACATTAAAGCAAGGTTAGGAGATGCAGTCCCATGGTAGCCCGTCACCACCAATAGGTTCATACGCCATTTGTTCAGTTAGGATTCTGGAGCCCATATGCACCACTGGTTTGGAATCAGGGTTTCCCAACTCTTCTAGATGGATCCTCCGTACCCACTGACCCGGTTAAAGCACCGAACATTCACATTTCTTATTCTAAATCTGGTAGACAACACCTCTGCTATGAGAAGTCAGTGAGTAGGACTTTCCTGGCAATGGCTATATACGCGTGGGTATATGGAAACATTTCAAGGAGAACGGACTCTCCCCATTCTCCACTGTATCACGAAATTTTGGGGCAACATCAGCAGTATAAACTTCAGGTAGAGGTGAGCCATTCGAATTTCTTCACATACAAATGATGGCTTAACTTGTCGACCTTGGTCTTGATTGTTTATTGTTAACGTTCATCCTGTCAATGTAAAAATAAGTATGCAAACAATGACTTTTGGGCGATACAATCTAAAAAATGAGACATATAAGGTCAGGTTAATGGTCAACAATAACCAATCTAGAACAGTGTCAACTAGCCAAGCTTCATCCGTATGTATGTGAAGAAATCTGAATGATCCACTCCTACCTGAAGTTCATGCTGATGTTTTTCAGAACGATAATAAAAGCTTCACAACCAAGCTATGCAGTTCAATGAATGAAACCACCAAAATCATTGACCTCATCTACAATATATTTTCCATCATTTCGAAACTGTAAACTACCAAAAAAATAAAACAAATAACTATAGGAATTATAATTCCTTTTTTTTAATTGAACAACTTGTTAAATAAATAAATGATTTCCGTCTAATTTGTATAGTTAACTAAATTTTAATTCCTGGAGTGTACAGTATAATCTCTTAAAGGTTTCAAACCATGATACACTTTAATTGGTACTAGTTATTTGTATTTTATCTGCCCCAAATGCCCTGGTACGGCCGAGGGTGTGGAGAGTCAACTCCCCTTCTCGAAATGCTCCCACATGGCCACGCGGTCTACTTAGGAGAGTTTGAAAGCCCTGATTCCAAACCAATGGTGAACACAGGTTCCATGATCTTGAGGGAAAAAAGGCGTATGAACCAATCGTTGGTTACCAACTACAATAGGACTGATGATGTTGCTCCGCTGCTTTGTGGATCAGACCTTTGGGTCGAAGGCTCGGTTTGTGGTCTCATAAGAACATTACCTACTTCGGTCTGGGCACCCGGACATTATCACAGCCCACACACAAATGAAGTGACTTGCGTGGCTCGTATGTATTCGGTGCCCCTTTCTATCAATATTTATGTATTTAAATAAATAAATAATCTTCGGATGAATTAGAAGCGTAGGTCGATGAAATGCACGATGTTTCACCAATGAAACCGGTAATCTAGTTTCGTTTTTTAATGAATATTAGTTCTCACTTATAAGGATAATAGCTTTAGTCTTTCTATTAATTTATATTTTCGACACTGACTCTTCCTGTCACTTAATTTATTGTTCTCATGTTTGGTTTACTAATCAAATAGCCTATTTTAAGGTTATGTTTTTTTTATACACAGATTTGTTCTACTTCAGTTTTGTTTTCTTGAATGTCAAGCTTCTGCTGATCTCCTAACTTGTCTTTGTTTCCCATTTTGTTGGGGATTGTTATTGAAGTGTCATAAATCAGTGATTAGGTCTGTCAAATTCTCGTACAACCAGTTTTGTCTTAAAAGAATATTCCAGTAACTCGTAGTTAAGTATTACCTAAGGCTACAGCTAAACTTTAACAGGCCTATAGTGTTCTTCGAAACTCATTGTTATTTGAATACATTGGTAGCCCACACTGTTTTTACTAGTAAATGATTGACACTAAGCATGGAATGTAAATCGAAAACCTTCAAACATGATGTCAATTTTTAGTTCGTTATTTATTACTGTTATGTGTTGTGTTGTTCAGTGTTTGATTCTGATACTAACACGCAAGCCTCCTATATTCGATCTTAATCATTTACACGATATATATAACAAGCTACCAGTAGTTTATGTATTATTCCCTAGAAATCCAAGCCATCTCTTGTCGCTCATCATTCACATGATTACCCCAATTTATCTTTATGAGATTCTGGATTCAGTTATTTATAATTAACATACAGCCTTGAAAAAATGTACGTTGGTCAAAGTTTGCATAGCGCTTCACCACAACAAGATGGAATCAACATTATGAGTAACTCAGTAATCGAAATCATTATTCTGTAGAAATAGTAATGAACAAGACAAAACATTGAGAATATAGTTGAAAAAAACCCAGATTAGAACGTTGTATATGAAGGAATATTGTAGCTCAAGATTTAAATGAGGATAAAAAGCGTAGGAAAAAAATCCGTTCTACTGTGACCAGTTATGAACCATGTCACCCAATGTCTTGAAGTAGTAGTGTACATCTATCAACATAACTTATTCCTCAAGTTCATCATCGTGGATTAGATTAAAATTTGTATATATGCTTGTCTATTAGCTCTTAATCATTGTTTGCTGACTCCTTCAATTTGTATCGGTCTACTTTATTGATTATTTTTTACTTGTTTTTCAGCAGCAAGATATATATCACTCATCAAGTGGTCAGCATTTAACATCACCAGCATATAATCCTTCCAAGAATAATGATAATAATATCCCGCATATAACACCAATCAAAAATATTTCACCCTATTCACAAACTACTAACAATTGGTTCCCTGAAATGCCATCAACCTCTAATCGTCATCATCTGCATCATCGTTCGTCATGTGATCCAAATTCTTTGAGAACTATTCATATGTTAAACAATAATAATATTGACAATCAACAAATGAATATAAATAATAATAATGTTAATTATGATATGAATACGATAGGACCATATCATAATTATTTTATGCAACCAAATTCTACGTATAGAACTAACGTATCTTCTGATGAAAATCACCATTTTTATCAGTGTACTACTGCACCAGATCTACTTTTGGATCATGAACAACTTACTACTACAGAAAGATCTAGAAATATATCTAATCCATCACCAAGTTGTTCATCATCACAGTTATTATCTCGACACCAACAACAACTGCCTGTGAACTGTCTAATAGATAATTGTAATCATTCTGTAATTCGTTTAACTAATTCATTTCATTCACCTGCTAACAACACTGTTAGTAATGTTTCACAAATTCCAATGTTACCTTTCTCTTCTACATTATCCTCTGTGCCGAATTCACAACAAAGTAATTATACATTATATCCTAATGTAAGTTGCTATATTTTATGTTATATTAGTTACCATTTATATAATTAGCATTATTGTTTTTTTAGTATGGGGTTGTAGAGATTGTTGAATTTCATTGAAATAAGGTACTGATCTAAGTTAGACCATCATTGAAAACGCTTAACCTATAACTAGACCACTAAGTTAGCATCCAACGCGTTCATGTGCGAGACCTAAGGTCCTTGGTTTAAGTCCTGCGCACAAGGTCCTGAATGAGCACTACTGAGAAGTCCCATACTAAGAAGAAATGGCCTTCCACTGCTTCCAGATTTTCCATGATTATCTAATTTGAATTGGCTCATGATTTCAACGAAGTATTATTATATTTACTTTACAGTAATCAAAAGTCCTAATGTGAAACTATTCAGTTATGGTTGCCACCAATACTTTATTCTATAAAGTTTGGTAGATAATTGTATTATTAAAAATATTATACGATTATTGAAGTCTTTTTCTGTGGAAGTGAGTAAATTATCTCATGTAAACATACCAGTTGTTTACAATTGATTGATTATTTATCAGATTGTAGACATACATCTTGTTGTTAGCCAGTTTCAGCTAGTATGAAACATGAGTTCAGGGTTACCTATCGATTACTTTTAATCATCTAACACACTAGAAATTGTTGATTGAATTTATCTGGTTTCTTATTAATATCTTCTTAGAGTCAAATCTATCTGTTTATAATTATTGAAGTGTCAGTTCTCTACAGAATGAATTCTCTAAATTAATGTTGTTTAAGTACGTGAACAGGCATTCATGGATAATATCAGTCAGTCAGTCAGCTACAACGCAGGACCAGACATATATATGCTACGGTCGAAGCTGCCACACCACATTATTATTTACTATTTATTTATTTTAACGCATAGATATTGGTACAAGGAGGCACCAAGTGGATATGCGCCACACAGACCTCATTTGATATGTGTGAGGGCTGTGATACTGCCAGGGTGCCCAAACCGAAACACGTGAATTTCTTAGGGGACCACACTCGGAGCCTTCGACCTGAAGGTCTGATTCACAAGGCAGTGAAGCAACGTAAGGAGATGCGTTCCCATGGTAGCCGGTGACCAACAATTGGTTCATACATCATTTGTTCCTTCAGGATACTGGAGCCCATATGACCATTGGTTTGGAATTAGGGTTTTCCAACTTTCCTAGGTGGACTCTCCATGTCCACCAACCCGGTTAAAGCTCCAGGCATTCGTTTTTCGTCCTCTCAATTTCGTAAATAGCACCCTTGGTGCGAGAAGACAGTGAGTAAGAGGACTTCCCTGGCAGAGGCAGGGGCATTTGGGGGCACAAGATGAACACCAAATGCATAGAAGTAGTTACTTCAATGGTAGTAATATATCAAAAATAGATTGCATACAAGAATAAGATACAGTGAGAAATAGTTAGTTCGTAGAAAGAAAGGCATAAAGTAATTTTAATCCGATGGTTTAAGGGAAGACAAACAGTGCATACTCCTACACCCATGTGATCGATTCTGAGTCATGGCACCCAGAGTCTCCATCTACTGGCTGCCGTAGTGGTACGGACCACAACGAAGTAGTCTGCATCTACCAATATGGCTCAGATCAGAAGTTGTTGGCTTTATAGATTGATGCAACTTTTCGGTTTGGCCGCTCTTAACTTCCATCTGTCTCCAACACTAGTCAGCATTGAGCGTCGTGGTAGTCAGTGGTTGGTCATACATAACATGTCGCTTAATCATCTCAGTTGACAAGGCTTCACAACCTCATCAAATGATTTACCATCATCATGACCTAATACTCTGCGTGTAACCTCACTATTACTTACCCGGTGATCCAAACAGATTCTGACCATATTTCTAAGACATCTGTGATCAAATACTAGTAACATAGTACTATCCTATACCCTTACTGGCCTTGTTTCTCAGCCATAAAGTAAAATCGAACGAACTGCTGCTCTGTATACTCATTTTTTAACTGATAGACGGATATCTCGCCTTCGCCATAGGTGACGTAAGGTGGCAAAAGCCAAACGAGCTTTTCGAATCCGTGCAGAAATTTCATCGGACACCAACCCATTAGGGTTGATCGATCAGACTTCAAACATAAGCTAAATGGCATGAATGATATTGTGAAGTAAGATTTCAGAATACTTGACTTACATATTGTAATCATGTCAAATAGGGAAATCAAACTTCAAAATCAACCACTGACATTTATAACTACATTCTTATTACAAAATACTATAAATTGAGTCAATCAGCTGTTTATTTTCTTTCAAATAAAACATCTTTTTGTATGACATTTTTCTCTTTCTTTACAAGTACCATTCTGCTTTATTTTGTATGATTCCAATTACTATAGATCCATTCAATTTAGTAGACCATACAATCATTATTTTGTGCCAGTTATTCATCATTCAACTTTAAGACTTATCATAATTGTGTATCAGTCTAAAAGAATGTATACAAATTTATATTTGGTCAGCTCTTTCCTGATTTTTCAACTTGTAAGGTACATATTCATGTAATTAACTTCGAATCATGTTAAGTGTGAAGGATAGTAACACTACTCACTTATTCATATCAAAGTAGGTTTATTGGGGGGGGGGGGTTCAAACCTACAGATTAGCAGTTTTTATTTCAAAGGAAAACAACAAGAGTTCGTTTTTTATGGGTTGGGTTGTATTTCAACCCGTGTGATCTTCCAGTAGTGACAGGTAAACAGTTGTATTACCCCCCCTTTCTGTAGTACGATTATCTTTTAGTTCACTTGTATTGTCAGTAAGACCGGTAACCTTCTAAGTACCAATTGACGCACTGGCCAATAAACAACAACCAAGTCGTTGAGGTTTATCAGTCCTTGAGCTGCTAACCCAGTAGCCAATCAGAAGACGAGGGTAGAAAACATTAGTTTTCTATTATAATCGATTCATTCATGACTCAAAAGCCCATACAGTAACATAACGTAAAACACTGACCATACATCGATATCATTAAGAAATTACAATAGCAATCTAAATACGCCATAAGTGAAAGAAAACTCAGTAGTATGTACAGTACGCACCAACAGTTCACGTGTCACGGAAAAGTGTACAAGCAGGGGAATATAAGCATACAGTGATTTAAACGTTTAAGAATTAATGAAGAAAATTAAGAACAATAACTTCAAGTAAGATACATTTCTGAAATTTCCGACTTCTTCACTACTCATCCCTTTATAATATAGTTGAAAGTTGACTGGATTTACTCCTGACCTACTACTGCTCCACTAAGTTTAATGTCAAGAGTGGGATTCGAACCCATATCTATACAGTTGGTTAGGAAAATGTATATATTGACTATTTCTGAATAGTAATATTTCATTCTAGATATTATTTTCACACTTTTTTATCTCACTATATGTATAGACATGTACAAATCCATATATTGTAACTGAAATTCCACTTGTTATCAATGAACAAAATCCCAAACAATCTCTAATTACATCTCAAAACTATATTCTTGATTGTGAATCCAATGTAAAATTATTACACAATCCATCTGAAAACGCTATCCTCACCAGTCGTAATAATAATGACTCAGATGCATTTGATAGTGAAGATGAAATTGTTTCAGTAAATGAAGACGATGGTGAATTTTTTGAAGTTGACAGCGATGACATTAACAATAACAATCCTGAACATAATGACCAACACCAAAGTCAACAACATACAAATTTGTTATTTACACATATTCCCTATATTGTAACAAATCAAAGTTATGCTAATAATTATGAACCAATGATTGAATTGAATGCTAATTCACGTGAATATTTTATTCCTGGTTTTGTAAGTTCAACTTACCATCATCATCATCATTTGACTACAATTGAACCAGTTAAAGTCACTACAACAATAACAACAGCAATAAACACAAGAACAACAACTCATTGTCTTCCATCTCATCCTTTGTCAGTTTATTCGAATATCTTAATGCAAAGTAAATGTTCTACATATATTAGTCCAGATGATGGTGAAATATCTAGTGTTAGTCAAAGTGCTAGTCAAGTTGTTCCATGTGCATCATCACCATCGTCTTCATCATCTTCATGTACAGACCCATCATCTTCGTCATCCTCATCATCATCATTTTCAAAGTCTAAATTATCGCCCAAATTAAATTCATATAATGATCAATTAACTCCTAAACCTATTGTCGTTACTTGTGCACAACTTGATCATATCATCACTGATCCTTCACCGTTATCTTCTTCTTATTCTGTTACTTTATCTCAGCATATTGATCAACATAATGATTCTATTATCAATGTACATCATATCAAATTGTTACCACTTGATAAACAATCAAATTTAAATGAGACAAAAATGATCGATGAAACAACAACAATGTAAATTTATTGTTTATTTTTCTTTTTGATTCCAACTAGAAACAATGTTACCTCCCCCCCCCATTTTCTTTTATCGATTTCTTTTACCTTACATTTATTCTTTTCTTTTTACACAAATAATCCTTAAAATAAAAATTGTTTTTATTTATTTGAAATAAATTGTGTGTTTGTTTACTTTTATGATTTTATTAAATAGATAAGTTTGTTTCTCAGAGAAGAAAGTGTGTTTGTTTTTTCCATTCACTTACTCACTCACTCCCTCTCTCTCTATCTCTCTCTCTCCCTTCACTTCAATATTCTCATAACAACATGTAACCCTTCTTTTCTCTTCGTTTTTTAACTCTTTAAGATTCATTGCATTCTACTTACTTTTCCATTGTTATTCCCCTAATCAGTGTGTTATGATTATTTATTATTATTATTATTATTATTATTATTATTATTATTACTATACATTGACTAGTGGATTTATTTTGTTAATTAATGAATTCTATTAGGGAATTATTATTGCATTTTCATACAACTATACCTATACTATATATAGAGAAAGAGGTATGGCTTCCTTCGTTTGTTTGTTTTTTCTTTCTTTCAAATTGTCCGGTACACTTTTTCATCATTATAAAAATATAACAAAGAGAAGAAGAAGAATGACAGAGACGAAACTATCAAGCGCCTATTTAATTTTTATTCTATTTTTTACTCATTCAATTATTCCACTTCTATTCATGTGTGTATGTAAAATAAGAATTGAATAATGAAATGAATTAAGGATAAAGGCTTTTTTCCCCTCATCATTTATACATCTTATATCGTTTCTTTAATATATATTTATCTAATTTGTGTTAAATTACTTTTGATTAATTATTAAAATGTATTTGTATGTATAAGAAATTAAGTAGTTACATTGTTGTATCCAACTCAATTACTGAATATACGTTAGTGTATGCGTACTTATGTATTTATGTATGTGTGTGTATATGTGTTTTATTGGTAACTTACCCATAACCCCCCCCGTCTCTCTCCCTCTCCCTGTCTCTTCCTCTCGCTTTCTCGCACATTATATTCATGTTCCTATGTGTTATTGGATGACCGGTGTGTTCCATTTCAATGATAATAATAATAATAATCCTTTATTGTAATATTATTTGTTATTACTTTGTATTAATAAATCTGTATAATCAGTTAAAATAATAAATTTTATTATTCTATTAGGTTAAATTTTGTTTTGTTTATTATTATTATTGTTATAAACGTAATTTACAATAAGTTCACTTTATTCTTTTATACCTGATTGTCATATGTTTTACATCAACTAAATGGTAAATATTTATTCCACAGATTGAAATCATGAGTCAATTGAAGCTAGACCACCATGGAAAACCTGGAAGCAGTGGACGGCCGTTTCGTCCTAGTATAGGACTTCTCAGAAGTGCGCATCCACGATCCCGGTCCACTGGTCTAGTCGGTTAAGCGCTTGGCTCGAGACTGATAGCTCTTAAGTTCGAATATCGCGGGGTGCGGGATGGTGGATATGCACTGCTGAGGAGTCCCATACTAGGATGAAATGGCCATCCAGTGCTTTCAGGTTTTCCATGGTAGTCTAGCCTCAATCGACTCATGATTTCAATCTTTGAAATTTCTAAAATCGCCACAAACCCCTTCTGAAAATATTTATTCACTTCATATTGTTGTTTACTTGAATCTTCTTATTGATGTTTAGGACTAAAATTGTTCAGTCTCTTATTGGTATATGTGTATATTGTGCGGATTGCCCTAAGTCACAAGTATTATAAACGAAGATGGATAGTAGCTAGAAGTGGAATCCAGGACGTGCATTCCGTCCTATTTAGGACTCGTCAATTGGATGTACCTGCATCTCAGAGTTGATGTTCACTGTGGAACTCGAACCCAGTACCATTCGCTTCAAACGCTATCGCGTTATCCACTTAGCTACTGAGTCCTAATAGTCACTTGCTTGTGCAATGGGGTGAAGTTTAAATTCATTTAGTGTTGTTTTACTTGTATAATTCTTTTTACCGATTTTTATCACATCCATGAACTATTTTTATATCCATATACTTTGCCAAATCCATTTATTTGTATACAACATTAAAACAAAGTTATACGACATATGTGTTCTCTAATCAACCAATCTACCTACTTATCTTTTAATCTATTTTAACCTACCTCACTATCTACCTATCTACCACACCTACCTACCACGATATGTATCCAATAGTTATACGATGAACAGTTGCTTCATACTTTTATTTTGTTCGTTAAACTAAATATCATTGTCATTATCACCTTCCTTATTTTTCATGTCCTTCATAATTTATATTTCCCTCTTCATCACATTCAATTATGTATCGACATCATCATTAATGCACAAAGTCAAACGAATATATATTTGTGTGTGTATGTGTGCGTGTATGTTCACTTAGTAACTGGTAATGTGTGTTCAAAATTGAAGAAACAAATTCTAATGACTTATTCATAAATAAGGAATAAACTAATCAATAATTAATATCAGATGGGTTTTTGTGGAGATTGTAGTAATTTCAATGGTTATGATCATGAGTCAGTTGAAGCTAGACCACTATGGAAAACCTGAGGAGTCCCACAATAGGACGAAACGGCCATCCACTGCTTCCAGGTTTTCCATGGTGGTCTAGCTTCAACTGACTCATAATCAATAATCATATATATTATCTCTAGAAGAGGGTTTGTGGATATTTTAGTAATTTAATAGTTGAATTCATGAGTCAGTTGAAGCTAGACAACCATGGGAAACTTGGAAGCACTGGATGGTGGTTTCGTCTCTCAGTATGGGACTCCCCAACAGTACGCAATCACGCGGGACTCGAACCCAGCACCTTCGGTCTTGCGGACGAATGCTTAACCTTTAAACCACTGAACCATGGGATCCAACAGTAATAATGTCTAATGGTAACTAATTCATGCAATTTCTTCACCGTCCACTATTGTCTTCAATGAGTTTCATACTGAAACGAAATCACCGTCCAGTGCTTCCAGGTTTTCTATGGTGGTCTACCTTCAATTGACTCATGATTCCAACTATTATATAATTTTCAGTTGTAGATAATAAATTGTTTTAATTTATATAGGAAGCCTATGAAAATCTTCGTAGTGTACATCTGTAACTCTATAGATAATCGATCTTTGGGTTGAATAGGTAAATCATTGGGCTAAGGGTTAGGTGCTTGTCGAGAGATATTAAAATATTTGATCCGACCAAGAGTGAGTTGGTAGATGTGAGTTTCTGAAGAGTCAAATACTAAGGTGAAACAGCAGTTTATTGCTTTTCAGCTTTCAGTGTTTGACTAACTGGGGTCAATCCATGACTTGTTAACTTTAAAAAATGAATGATCTTCATAAACCCGAAATTCATAAACATGTTCTCTTTTCTTTACAAGGACTTGTAATAAATACTTGTTGATGATATAAAATTAAAATACTGTATACCCGAGTATTCAGTTAAACATTTAAGATTAGATTATAGAAAGTTATATCTGCTAACAACTAAAAGGGAGGTGAAACCTACAAACTTTAATAAACTTGTATTACTCAAATGATGGAACCTACGTCATTAAAGTTTTTTTAACCGGCAAGCTTGATAAGTAAACATTAACCCTCATTATTTTATTATCTTGTTTGCAGTGCAAATTAAGATAGATCAATCAAGTTTGAGGTCACTTAAACTAATAATCATATTGGTACGTGATTGACTGAATTCGATGAGCATTAAAAGACTAGATAAACAGAAATATCGATAATTATTCAATGATCCAATCATTTGTATGTGAGTTATATTATATAACTGGAGGAGGTTCTTCTGGAGGTGCCTGAAAACGAAATTGGATTAGACGTGGTCTTAGTGACCTGGGAGCGTGACCGTAGTGCCCAAGGGACAACTGCTTGAGGTCGGTCACACACGACCTTTTATGGGTAATTTTTGTGTTAGCTCCGTACTTGTTGGGACCTTACCGCCGGAGACGGATATCGTGGGATTAGGCGAGGTGTGCATTTTTAGGGTCGACCTTTTCTAACCCCACCCCTCCTTGTGGGAAGGCAGCATCGCTGTCATGCTGGTTGTTTGAATGAAACACCTTACTGCTGTCATACCTCTGTACAGTCAGCAGTACGACGTCGCCTTCGGACCTTAGGTTTGTTGCTTTTAGTCTTACCGCTCTTCAACTGACCTGTCTGACATGGTAGGACCTTGAGGAACAGTTGTTCCAGCCAATATAGCTCGGTTGCTTCATCACGATAGGCAAGCCCGACCACCACGACAAGGTAGCAACAACGGTCGGGATATTATATAACTTATCAATCAACAAATAAAATTATATTCTACTTGAAGTTTGTGCTGATGATGATGATGTTCAGAGAAACGACGAAAGCTGCACGATCAAACGATCTAGTTCAAAGAATAAAACTCCATCAAAATCATCCACTTGAGCTAGAAATGTTCTCCTTCATTTCAGAATAAACATTAAGTTTTTTTTATGTAGTCAATTAGTTAAAATCATAACACATGTCCCCAATCCAGTTAGTTAATTCTGATGTAATTAGTTTAACGTTTATCCTAAAGAATAGTTGAAGATATGAATGTTTTAACATTTAGTATCTTTTCAAAGATTTCATACTGAATATCACTTCATATAAAGAAGGTCTAATTAATATTCAAGCTATATTTCAGATTCTTCTATACTTAGTGTTAAGTTCGCTATATGATTAACGCAGAATACGATATACAACTACGGCACTCGAACGTATAGAACCCCATAGTCACAAATCAGAAGATTGAAGAAGTGCTTGTTGGGTAAGAATCAAAATGTACAGAAGATCATGGATATTTGTAGATATAAGCGTTTGTTATATCAACATTATAATTAAGCCAAGCCACAAAGAGGCAGGCTATGCTATTGTACAATAGTAGCATGCCAAAGTGATATTCTAGAAAGCTCCATCACGTTCTGGTCAGATGGAAACTCTTTGGTTTCTTAAGGGTCTCTCGAGGCTCCGTTGTAATTCTCGGAAGCCGTCCCAACACTTACAATCCTGTTCACACCATTCAGTGGAAAATAATTAATCTCATACTCTCTAGGAAATGCTTATTGAACATCATCCACCTAGTTACAATACTACTCTTTGGTTAATTCACTTGATATAACAGTATAGATTCATTAATGTCAAAAAAAGTATTCTTAGTAACCTACAATTCAAATTTTAGAAGTGATCGGTAATACTTTGAAGTATGGTATATCACAACAATTTCTATCTGGTAATGCAAATACAAATCTCCGAATGAGTATGTAGTTGAAAATCTACGTATATGTATTGTTGATATTCAGTGTACAAATAGACTTCATTCATAATAAGTACATAAATCATGGTGAAAATATTTAGCAAAATAAATTGTCCTACTTACAAGTAGTTAATATTTTATATCAAAATAATCAAACCTACATATAATTCATAGAAAGGATGTCATTCACAAGAAGTATCACAGTTTAAGAAATGTCAATAATAACAAATTATTATGAGGAAAACAAAACATTCGCTACAATTAAACTTTAGAACTGAACCAACTGGATCCATTTGATAATGAAAGTAAAGAATCTTTTGCTTTTACCAATATTTTGAAAGCTTCTTCACTGCCTGGAGTATTATTTTTATCAGGATGTACAATAAAGGCTAAACGACGAAATGCTTTTTGAATTTCTTCGCTTAAGATCAATAAATAAGTAAAGAAAAAATTCTTGATAAGTAACTGCTAGTGTTCTTTATTGATTGAGCTCTAATGTTTCTTTCCTAATGTAACATGATATATATTTACAGAATTTTATTTTAAGCTAAGATGGATGGCGGTTGGTAATGGAATCTGGGACGCGCGTTTCGTCAGCCGGATGTACCCGCATCGCAGAGTTGACGCCTACTCAAGGACTCGAATCCAATACCGTTCGCTTCAAACTTCATCGCATTATCCACTTAGCTACTGAGTACAAACGGTTACCCGCTTGTGCAGTAGTGTGAAGTTTTAATCCAACTGACGAGTCCCAAATAAGACGAAACCTGTGTCCTAGATTCCACTGCTACCTACCATTCACCTTTGCTTATAATGCTTGTGAATTAACGCAATATCGAGGCAATACGCAGAATATGCACAAATGCCAATAAAAGACTGATCAATTGCAGTCCTAAACATCAATGTGAAGATTTAAACAAACAATAGAAAAATGAATTAACATTTTTATTTTTCACAGATGATAGACTTGATGAGTCCAAGCATCCAGTTCCTGTGCTCACACGCTACCATCAAAGCCTAACGGTAAATGAGAGTATACAAACAAGGCACTTCATTAGATTAAACCAACTATGAACTGAGTCATGATCTTAGTTTCCATGTTCTTGTCAGTGTCAGAAGGGTATAGATATATACCAGTGATTTGTGTACACTTAATTCGGTTACTCAGTCACAATTTTCAAGTCATTCTCACTCGCTTAGAGGATTGGGTCAGCGTATAAGAAACGTGTATATCTATTGCAGAATCGAACAACTTCATAACATAAAAGAAAAAGAACAACAAAGTAAACAGCGTTTAGGTCGAACGCAAATTGTTTGGTAATATAACTATATCATCAATATATCAATAACTTCACTGTTTATCAAAATATCTAATGCTAAACAACATTGAGAAAGTTAAGTAAATAAATGAAGACATGAAAGGAATTTTCCATTCATATCAATATGAAAGACTTTATATCTGTTGGCTTATATTCAATCAGGATGTTATGATATATTAGTTAGTGATCTAGTATAATAAAGATCAAAATCAAATACTGTTTAGTGACCTTATATCTGACTCCAATTAGATCGTACGAATGAATATTACTGAAATATACATCCTGGCTATTGTCGTATATAGTTATCGACTTAACTCGCTTTAGCGAATAACGGAATTAAATAAATCAAATATGAGAATGGATTGTTGAATACGTATACTTTGCACAATCATTGATCCAGGAAGGCGATCTAAGGAACGATGCCAAACGAAGTGATGCACGGTGGAGAATGTATGTGAACCAACTTCATTTAATTAGGCATAAATCAATATTTATAACCAAATAAAAATAAGTTACAGACATGTGATTAACAGGATAAGAAGTGAACACACATACGCTCATATAAGAACCGTCAAGGCTGATAAGAAAATCATTAACAAAGTCAAAACTTGACTCAAGAAGAATGGATAAATTGGCCTGTCCAGAAGACAGAATAAGTTATATGGGCTTAACATAGTAACCGACACTGCAACTGCTTATCTCGAGCATCACTTCTGGAATTCTTTTTTATAAAGTGTATTTTCTTGTTGGTTTACTCAAACAAACTGAGGCTAGAAGCCGAAAATTTTGAATCCAATCGTTGGGTCTCCACTGATAAGCAACCAACTGATTGAATGAGGGATTTTTTAGACTATATATATATGCAATTATACGCATCGGTCCAAGTTGGCACACCTCATTAGCACAACGAGATGAGCACCAAATTCATAGAAGTAGTTACTTCAATGGTAGTAATATGTAAAAGAAAGATTGCATATTAGAATAAGATATGGTAAAAAGCATAGTTCGTTCGTAGAAAGAAAGGCATAAAGTAATTTTAATCCGATGGTTTAAGGGAAGACAAATAGTGTATACACCTAAACCCTTATGATCGATTCCGAGCCATATCATCCAGAGTCTTCAACTATTAGTTACGGTAGTGGCGCAGACCCCAATCAAGTGGTCTGCATCTACCAATATGGCTCAAACCTGAAGTTAGTGATTTTCTGGACTGATGCCACTTCTTGGTTTGGTCGCCCTTAACTTTCTTCCATCTGTCCCAAACACTAGTCAGCATTGAGTGTCGTAGTGATCGGTGTTCAGGCATACGTAATATATATGATTATTTACTCAATGGTATTACAGGATCACTCTCTACTGGTAGGTAAACCATCTTATGTCAATGTTTCTTCTATACATTACTACCATTGAAGTAACTACTTCTATGAATTCAGTATTCATTTTGTGGTGCTAATGAAATGTGACAACTTAAACCGACACATATATATGCCTGATCTTACCTTGTAGCTGACTGACTGATTAAAATGTTTCTGATGTTTGAAGTGAAAATTTCAAAGAGGCATCAATATCAGCATTATTTATCACTTTAAACAACATGAAAAATATATATTTACTACTTAATTAACTCTAAACAAACTTACCTACTAGCTGTCATACTAATCCCTAATCGTTCATAATTATTTTTAGCATTTTTAATACGATTTATTTCTAAAAGATTTTGATATGTCATTTTACATGGTTCATTTTGATTTGATTTAAATGAAGCGGTTGATGATGGTGAAGAAGGCATGTTGAATTGTTTAAATGAATGATTCAATTTTGAATTAGATTTTGGAATATTCATTGTTGAATTATGATGTATAGAATTCATTTCTTGATATGTAGGATTATTTGAATTTCGATGAAAATGAACATGATTCGGTATATAAGATTGATAGATTTCTGGATTAATAATACTTTCAAATAAAGTCTGGAAAAAAGATTTGTTTTAAATATACAACTAAAAGAGGAAAAAAATGAATTATGCGCATATTTCAAATTAACAAATTTAAAGTAAACTTGGTCGTTAAGGCATTCTTCGTGTACTTTGGGACCACCGAGGTTAGGGATAGGGTAATAGGTAGGGTTGAGAGTGGAGAGATTCAGCTCTACCTCTCGAAATGCTCTCACATGGTCACGTGCGTACAACCACTGTCAGGGAAGTCCTACTCACTGTCTTCTAGGATCACGAAGTTAGGAGAATGAAAAGCGAATGTCGGATGCTTTAACCGGGTTGGTGGATATGGAGGATCTATCCAAGAGAATACTGAAAACCGTGATACCAAACCGACGATGTAAATGGGCTCAAGGATCCTAAGGAAACAAATGGCGTATGAACCAGTTGTTGGTCACCGGCTACAATGTGACTACATCTCCTGACGTTGCTCCACTACCTTGGGGATCAGACCTTTAGTTCGAAGGTTCCGGTTGTGGCCCCCTCAGGAAACCACCTGCTTCGGTTTGGGCACCCGGTCAGTATCCAAACCTAAATCAAGTGGCCTGTGTGATGCATATCTGTTTGCTGCCTCCTTGTACCAATGTTTATGTGTTTAAATAAATAAATAACTAGGTAGAGGTGACAAATCGACTGATGAGATAGTGGATCATCAACATCTGATGTGGTCGAAACTTGTGTTACATACATTCAGTCACTCTATACATCAACAGGCGATACTGTATGATGTAGGATTAGGTTGGAAGAAAGCTAAGGTGGTAAAACTAAAATATGTCACTTGTCCATAAAATCATTGCTCATTAGACTGAGCTGTGTTAATGGGTATAGACTACCTCCTTAGGCTTCACAAGATTATTGTAACCAGTGGTTGATAGGAATCGAAATTGTTGTCAATGGTGTGTGAGAATTCATTGTCTTCCGTTAGACTCTGATTTCTGAAATCTCTCAGTACTTTTTTTCCTTCATCCAATATTTAATTGTTCCTATTACCAGTTATATTAAAGTTACTTCTAATACTCTGATATTTGTCTTGATAACCTTATCACCTTGTACTGATGTTGTGCAGCAACTTGAGTCAGTGAACATTTGTGTCGGGTTCTTCATTCCATATGGCTGGTTGACTAATTTGTAGATTCCTATTGTTTATATTTCTAGTCTCTGTCAGTACACAATCCTTTCTTGAACAAACAACTTTGATATAATCTACATTTTTATTCTTCACGGATAACTAATACCAGTCAATAAAGTTATTAGCCAATCAAATCAAGAGTATTTGCACAACTCATTTACACAAATATATATTTATCCCTTCGAAAATTTAAACAAAATTGTTAATCAATTGTTGACATGTATTTCCTCAGAAATTTAAGTTCAACCATAATTAATAGCACACACCTGACTTGAATTATTATGTCTGATTGAGGGTAACTGAATTACATTCAATGGTTACGCAACTGGGTCGTTAGCAACTGGTTACATTAGTTCTTCGTAAATGTTTGTATTTTTCCGTTTTTGATGTTCAGGAATGAATTCTAATTAGTCTTTGTTGTCATATGTACATTTTAAGCGAATCATTTTAATAAGTATCATATCCATTGAACAAGATGGTAATGATGTGCACTTACTTGTTTAAGGGATGAAGCGTTAAACTTTAAAGAGAGAGATACTGAGTTCAAGTTTGAGTATGGAGATTAATTTTTAGATTCAAGTTAATTCAATTGATAAGTCGTAAATTGAGTGAAATGCTCAGATTTCTCTGGTAGTTGCAATTCAAATATATGATTGCGTTGAGTACACCAACGGTTATGGTGGGCCGAAGTTATTACTCCTTAGAAATTTTTATTACTTCTCAATAAAGCATTAGACCCTCTATTTCATTTTGTTTCAACTGAATCATTTTGTTTAATACATTCTTATCAACTTTAAATGTATGTCTCATAACTAAATTATGACTTACGCCATTCTATCTAACAATCCCTGTTCCGTATCTAATTCTAACAATATTACATGTTGAAATAAGAGGTGATTTATTTTACAGGAGGTCACAACACGAATTACTGGCTAGCATCCCTTTACAAACACTGCATTTTCAAGTCAGACAATGATAATCCATGGGCTTTATTACATAAATGAAATATTTTAAAGACATTATTAATAGTGCACTTTTAACTTACTCTAGCTCTAGAGTAAGTGTTACAGAATTTACTCACGTACGGTACTATTACTGTGTGGTTTAATGCAGGAAAAATGGGAAATTTGCGTGTTACTATACATCAACACATAAAAACTAATATAAGGCAAAATAAGAAAACTGGAGATTTATTACTATCGACCTTTATAAAGTGTGCTAAAAACACAAACTGGAACTATGAAACCTTAGTAAATGAATTGAGACACTTAATAATCACAAGACTTATTGTAGAACGCTAATTAAAGTTACAACGTAATAACGTAATGAGACTAAATCAGTTAAATGCATCAAAGGGTGTAAGGAACTACAAATTTTCTGCCTGATGTCCACGTAACATAGATGTGTAATTTAAATTATTAATTAATCTAACAAATAAACTCTCAAGACTAAAATACATTTACTCTACATCAGTATTATAAAACCGAAATCTCATCATACGATATTTTTGACACAAACTCTTGTATAAATCTATGGTAAGTAGCGAGCGACAGAGTTTATAATTCATCCTTAAATTATATACCAATGCATCAGAACTTTAATTTAAGGAAAAAATGTTAAAAGATTTCAACTTGTTTAGTACCACACATAATGATTAACTTATATACGCACAAGAGGCTGCCACACAATAATATCATTTTTAAATAAAAGTAGATTACATAACTGATCTGTATGTAGCCAATATAAACCTGACAAAAGACTCAGCTTAATAATTTTTCAAAATGATACTTACATTAAAAGTTTCTGTAACTCCATGACCACTAAGTGCGGATGTTTCAAGGTATGGATACTGATGTATTGCTGCCCATTCAGATACTTCATAATAGCTCACTGCTCTTGGCGCTTTATCAACCTGCGGAGTACAATTACATTTGAATCTAACAAACCTTCATAGACTGATTTTGTTGAAAAGACTTAACACAATTATATTCAAAATAACTCAATTCTGTTAAGTTAAACAGGGATCGTTCGATATAGTTATAAGCGTTGATGTAGAAACATGTTGAAAAGTGCTTTTTTCATCTCGAAAATGACTACAATATGTGCATCAGTGAGTTCCAACTTTTCTAACTGACTGCGTCATTTACTTATTCCTTAAGATAAACTTTGTGAAGATAAGTGAGTGAAATATGTTCAAAAGAATTATGATACTCATAGAAAGCGTCAAAAAAGTATAGATAAGCATTCTGGAAACATTAACTTACTAACACAATCAATAAGATTATTTATATAACAGCTATTCTATGTGTCAATGTGCTGAAACACATCAACTCTTACTGAATTCCTTGAGAAGACAAACCGAGCCGATTACATCGTAGCATAAAGAAATATGTAAAAATTGTGAAAAAGGATGGAAATTCATAAAGCGAAACAACTTCCCGACAAATTGGCCAGATCATTCTTTTATATAAGCCGAACCTAGCACGCCTAACTTTAGGTATTACATACACGGAGTGAAATCATATAACCAAAAATCATGACATATATTTGCACTCAAATGAGGTAAAATAAGCTAAATCTGTAAAAAGAACTGGTTCGACAAACTTAAGTAAACTCAGTAATGGACAAATGTAGCATTACCTTGTTACCACAAAGAATTATGACTGGAGATGAAACCGAATTAGCTTCACCGGATTCGAAATGCAACTCATGAACCCACCGAATCAGATTTTCAAAAGTTTTTCTGTTTGTTACGTCAAAAGTCAGAATAGCACCATTTGTATCTTTATAGAATTCATTTCGAATATCGTAAAATGAAGGATTTCCAGACATGTCAAATATATCAACGCGTAGCTCATTGTTCCCTACCTTGGTTCTGTCATATAAGTTTATGTCATAACATTACCTGAATACACCATAGTCTATACCGATCGTTGGTAAGTACTTTGAAACAAAACGTTTCTCACAAAACCGTTTGATCAGACAGGTCTGGATTTTAACAGAAGTGAGAACATACCTTCCCCGTGTCTTCATCTCCCATGCTAATAATTTTAACTTTTATGGGTTTATTTTCTTCGGGCATTATTAAACGATATTTGGCCAAATTGTCACGCTATTTCAAGTTAGTACGTTTTTTATGACCCTTACGTTACATTGGCTACGTCAAATAAAACAAATAATTTGCAAAATGCAAATGTTCTTCATTTTCACTCTAGCTTGTGGAGTAGCTGTATCCATGAGAGTCTCGAGAATTTCTTTTTTTGCTACATACTACTTAGATCTGTTCACATATATAACCGACACTAGAGTATATACTGCATATCGAGTTTATGCCTTTTTCTCAGGGAAGTGAGGATTCTGGATACCAGTGGCTATCACATAATCAGGCAAGAAGAGGTTGGTTGCTTGCGATGTAAAAATGGTAAAATGGCAATCCAAGAGCTAAGAGAAGACCATTGTTTCATGAACAAATAAATAATTCACTTAGTTGGTAATTTGTAAGTAGATGGAGGTGATTCAATTAGAGGGAAACGGAGATGATTACAAGTGAGATATGAAGTAGGTGCTGGTTATACGTTAATTATTACCATGGTGATTTGTAAGACATGCAGATGGTTCAGATGGGGTGAATTTATCCACAACGCAACCACGTAAACTTAATGTATCGCCCAGTGTAATAACGGTCATCTGTGCGTTCAAGTAACGACAGATTTTGTCATTTCATAATGTATTTTTAATTAAATAACTAGATTATGTTGTTAATTTTTCTCTGTTTTTAATTTTTATTCTTCACGTCTGACTGCGTTGCACTGTACGTAAGAACTGTTTCGCCCATAGTACTATGGCCCTATGAAACTGTTTACGGGAGACCCAACTAACAGCAGACTATAAAGAGGATGCTGTATGTCCATTTTAGTCTCACAACCACCTCCAGTACTTTTTGAGTTACTTCTTTTACCCTTTCGTTTGGAAAAAAACAACAAAGACTGCAGCTTAACATTACCAGTGCAACTTTTAAACGGGATTTCGTTTAAACTGTAGGGGCCATGCGGCAGTGGTCTTACTTTCGCTTGTATCTACTTTAACTAATATATTTCGGTAATAACGTCCTTTGTGTTTTACAGTCTTCAAAGCATCTATAGCACCTTGATACGTCAATGGGGGTAGTCTACGTAAGGTGCTGACCACGAGGTGTGACTTCGACGTTAGCTGGTTCGTCACACCATTCACGTCTAACTCGAGTAGGCCTCCAATCATTTCGACATAGATCATCTACGTTGGCGATCTACAAAACCTTTGTTTGATATTCGATTCTTAATGAAAGTTCCTGAATAAATTTTTGAATCTAATGCTACTTTGTTTTATCTACTTAATCGTTGTAAGGAACTTGTGATATGCGAGCCTCTCAGCATCTAGTTCATATGTAGTAAATTTAAGTGATTTAGTACATATCTTCGTCGTTTTCTTGGGAAACCTACAGACTCGGGTCCTCTCATAACTTATTCTAACCACCATAAGTTGTCACGGCAGCTGATGGATGGACACGCGTTACTCATCCTAACCGCACCCGCATCTAATCTTATAGCTCCTTACTCAAATGCCATATGGTAAACAAGCAATGCCCTTACCCGCACTAATGGAACACTAGTAACTCAAAGGCACTCTGTATGGTACCTTACATTGGTCTACGCACTCGCTTAGCTCCTTGGTGAGAATATTAATACAGTCCTGCTAAAAATCCCATAAACCCTCCTACCTCCATCAAAACAAATAAGTCTGTATTTGCTGCATATAGCAACTTTATTTTTCAGAAAATAAAACAGAATTGGAGTAAAATGGCAGTATACAGCAGATGTACGTGGTACATGTCTTCGTCGATTAACTGAAATAGAGAATACGGATATTAGCTTAACAGGCTTATTTAGAAAGACTGGTGTCTACTTTGAGCTTACTGCGTGAGAAAGTTATACTGGAACTACGAATAATGTAGGAATCTAGTCTCCCAGGGCGTACGAAGTACTCAAACTGGAAGACGGTTGTCTCAAAATAATTCCAATATGAAGGTGAAAATTTGCAGGTACTTTTCAGTGTAAGGGTGAACATATTAGGTACCGGTTGACATCATACCGTAAAAAAGCACAAATTTGCGAGTGATGAAATACGATCTATAAGAAAGTGAGCTTAACAACAGTTAATTACCTTTTTACTCCCTGATCATGACCCTTCGGCTTCCTTTTTTAGCCAAAACAGCAAACATACACTACACACTGGCAGCAGATTTCCGGCTTTACAATGTTAAGCTTGCTTTAACGCACGACGTACTGAGTACAACCCTTCTATTACTGATACATGGCATATTTTACATAACAAACCCTTTGCAATAGATTGGTAGCATCTATGACTTCATTTGTGGTTATGGGAAGTCTGAGTCCTTCCGAAAACAGTACTGATATCCCCTACTGTTGGGTACTCTATATTAGTTTGACTCGTTGGTGGGATAGTGTTGTCCATAGTACTGAAGAAAATCGAAAACCGGAGATTGTTTCCTTTCATTTTGCCGATAACGTCATAAAGGACAGTTAGGGACGAACATGCGGACAGTTAGAGTCACAGGCCGGAGCAACAATTATTTTAGCTAGAAAAACGAACTTGGCTTTGGATATCTAGAAAACAAGTCAAAACAAAACCGATAAGAATAGCCAGCTTGGCTGAAGAAATACATTGACTTCAGTAGCAGCAGCCAAAACACAGAAAACAAAGCAAAATGAGGAAAAATTTTGCCCCAACAATCAGAGTATTACATTAACCTCTGCATTTTAGCACACTGAAACATTAAATTCTGTGGCTACACAAAAGAAATAGCTGAAAAAAATACAGAACGAAGAAACCTGACCACCATTGCTTACAAAGATGGCGGATATAATAATTCCCGCCCCATTCTGATTGATTGCTAAGCTAAAGGCCACATTTACGAAATTGAGTTGCGTTTAATAGCAGCCTTCAGATGGGAATCCATGAGTGAGTATTTGATTGTCAAGTGTCCTCTCAAGGCTATCCACTGATGGCTATGGCCACTTCGGCTGGAGAGCATTCTAAATGGGGGCAATTGTTAATGAGAAAAATTGAGAATGTACTTAGGTATTCGCAACTTGATTTGCAATCTTCTGACGGTTGCCCCGAAGAGCGTGGTGATGATGTTCTGGTAATATGTTAGGGTTGGGGTGACTTGGAGTGCTTGGTATGTAGTGGTATTGGTCCACACAATCTGCAAAGCTGAACATGAAATAACTGGGAAAAATAGGTATTCAAGGTTTAACGCAGAGAGAAGGCCAACAATGGCGAAGGCACGGTTCAGCCTTTCAGGCGTGATCATTCTGTATAACTTGTCTTCATGCACAGCAGTTTCATGCTATGAGGAGACTGATACACATGACCTGCTTTTTCCTGAATCACTGTTGGGCTTCATGGTGGGTGTTGTTTCTACCCTTGTATTCCCTCATTTACTCACTGACCAGTTCTTCCACTACCTTCTACTGCATTTGAAGGGGGGTAGTGAGATTGATGTGCAACAAGCTGAGTACTTTCTATCACGTTTTTTGAAGATCGGAGGGGAAATGACCCTCTTTCACTCTTTTGGTAGTTAGTGTGAACCTAGCGTGTTTACGGCAAGGTCACACACTGGCATGCTGATAGATTCCACGCAACACTTCAGGATTACAAGTAGGAGTTTTCATATCCTGGTGACATTCCTGGTGTTATGTCCTTTGCTCTGTCTACCCGCTTTGGTGCTGAGGATACTTATCTAATCCACATTAAGACCTTGATCCGATAGGCTGGCCGACCTAACCTTGAGGCTAGTACGCGTGAGTTCGAAGTGGAGTAGAGAGAAAACCATCCGATCACCTGATTGGCTGACAAGCACGCGAACGAGAGAAGACAAGATAACTGGAACACTACTCGACCTATTCCCGATATCCTAATTTAAGTTCGGATTAGTGTAAAATGGTACATGAATAACTAAGTGAATAACCCCACCACAACGTACAATAATTAGGAAAAATAAAATTATGTCCAAAGCTGAGAATTAGAGTAGGAAATAGGGTACAAGTTATGATGTTTAAATTACAGCAGCTTCGGAACAAAAAAGAGTATGGCAATGAATCATACATCGAGCGAAAGCTTATGTTCTGTAGAATAAATTAGGGACAAAAATGAACGTCAGTGTTTTACAGGCCTTGAATAAAATGGAATAACGCTCCGAAAAACAGCTTTCGTAGTTCGTCAGGGCTTCTTGTTTCCCTGTTCACATCACTTGAGCCCAGATGTCTTACCCGGGAGTCAGGTATCTCCCAGCAGTCAACTGCCACTATGCCTGAAATGTGTTCCACGTTTTCAGGCTTCCGGTTTAGTTGGTCTATGAATCTGGCATTGAGGATCTGTGCTTTAAGAATACAGACCACCTTGTTCACTGGATTTCGCCTGGTCAATAACCTGTAGAGATATTTGGGGTTACTTCGAGTTTTTTTCTGCTAGCTTGGTCTGAAAACGTCTCCTACCGCCGTGTACTTTAGCGTTGCGTCTGCCGGTGTCAAGTAGGGGCTGTGACCGAAATCCTTAAGAAGGACTTGTCGGATAGTGGTCTAGGTAGATGTTAGTGCATTTATATTCACAACCAGAATAACCCAATCCACATTTACAAATTTGCCGTGTTGTAAATACCCAATCAATAAGGTCTTATGTGGAAATTCCATCACTATCTATGCTGACTCCTATTGTATCAATCACTAATATGATGTTTAGCGCCCCTAAAGAACACATTTAGGCCCTGTATAGAATAATATATTTACTGTGCGAAGTGATAAGTTATGGAGTGACAACGTCGGCATGGCCGTTCCATGTCGTGCCTATCAAGTGTTCCAGCGTCCACCACTTTCGACTTGTTCAGTGTTGAATGTAAATCCTCTCAGTTGTCGTATGTTCACCGACATGGGTGGCATGAGAACCAATACTACTGCGGAATTT